TCATAAATGTTCAATAAATTAAAAGAGAGCACTGATAGACAACCAAACAAAATCAGGAAAACAATGCATGAACAACATGAGAATATCAATGATGAGATAGAACTATGAAGAACGAAACAGAAATTCTGAAAATGAAAACAATAATAACTGTACTGAAAAACTCACTATTCAACATCAGACTTGACAAGGCAGAAGAAAGGATCAGTGAACTCAAAGACAGGACTTTCAAAATTACTTAGGCAGAGGAGCAAACAGAAAAAAGATTGAAGAAAGATGAAGAGAGCCTAAGTGACTTGTGGGACACCATAAAGCAGAACAACACATACATTATGGAAGTCTCAGAAGAAGAAGAAAGAGAGAAAGGAGTTCAGAGCCTAATTGAGTAATAATTAATGGCCTCAAATTCCCTAAACCTGAGACTAGAAATGGACATACAAATTCATGAAATTAAAAAAACTCCAACTAAGATAAATCTAAAGAGAATTACACCAAGGCATATCATAATCAAACTGTCAAAAGTCACAAAGAGAATATTGAAAGCAGAAAGAGAAAAGTGACTTGTTATGTACAAGGGAGCTCCTACTAGATTATCAAAAGATTTATCAGCAGAAACACTGTGGACTAGAAGGGAGTAGGATGATATATTAAAAATACTGGAAGAAACAAGTGCCAACTAAGAATACCATATCCAGCAAAACTATCCTTCAAAAACAAAGGAGAAATTTAGATTTTTCCAGATAAACAAAAGCTGAGAGAGTTTCTCATCACTAGACCTGCCCTATAAGAAATGCTGATGGGCTCTTTCCCTTGGAGCAGGTGGCAGACATGGTGGCTTGTGCAGCCATGGCCAATATTAAGTCTCAAGACCTTCAAGGTAAGGAGAAGGAACTGTTGAAAGAGCTGGAAAACTGGAAGGTGAAGTTATCCCAGATGCATCTCTCCAATGTGACAGGCAGAGTGGCATCCAAGCTGTCCAAGATCCAGGTTGTTCACAAATCCATCACCTGTGTTTTCACCACATTAACTAGACTCAGAAAGAGAATCTTGGAAAATTCTACAAGGGCAAGTAGTCCAAGAAAATTTGTGCCATGTGCGGCTGGCTCAGCAAACCCGAGGAGAACCTGAAGACTAAGAAGCAGCAGTGGAAGAAACTGTTGTGACCGCTGTGAGTGTACGTGGTCGAAGCCTGAGCACTGCAGTGTCCATAAACTGGCTGGGAATAAAAAGAAATGCTGAAGGGAGTCTTTCAAGTTGAAGTGAAAGGATAATAAACAGCAACCAAAGCCATATAAAAATATAAAGCTCCTGTGGTAAAGGTAAATATATAAATGTATAATTATGTAGTGTTATAATGTAGGTGCATATATCACTTTCTAGTATAGAATTTTAAAAACAAAAGCACAAAAAGTAATTATATATAAATATATGCTGAGGGATGTGATATAAAAAGAGGTAATTTGCACCACAGTAACAAAGTGGGGGGTACAGAGTTTATGTAAAGGGGCAGAGTTTTTATATGTGATTGAAGTTAAGCTGTTAACGGCTTAAGATATATTGTTACAACTTTAAGATGTTTTATGTAATTGCAATGATAACCACAAAGAAACTATAGAATATATGCAAAGGGAAAATGAGAAAGGAATAAAAATATGTCACTACAAAAAGTTAAAAAATTAATGAAACATAAGATAAGGTAGTAGGAAGAAAAGAGGGACAAAAGAGCTATAAGATATACAGAAAACAATGAATAAAGTGGCAATAGTAAATCCTTACCTGTCAGCAATTACTTCATAAGTAAATGGATTTTAAATGTACCAACTGAAAGACACAGATTGGTTGAATGGATAAAAAACAATATCCAACTAATATACTGTCTAAAGAGATTCATTTTATATCTAAAGACACACATAGGCTAAAAGTGAAAGCATGGAAAAAGATATTTTATGCAAACAGGAACCTGAAAAGAGGAGGGGAGGCCATATTTAGACAAAATAGACTTTAAGACAAAAACTGTCACATGAGACAAAGAAGGACATTATATAATGATAACAGGGTCAATTCACCAGAAAGATATAACAATTATAATATATATGCACCTAATATTAGGGCTCCCAAATATATGAAGCAAACACCGACAGAACTGAAGGGAGAAATAGACAGCAAGACAATAATTGTAGGAGACTTCAATATTCTGATTTCATTTATGGCTAGAATAACCAGACAGAAGAAAATAGAGGAATTGAACAACACTATATATAGACCAATTAAACTTAACAGATATATATAGAACACTTAACCCAACAGTAGAATACATATTCTTCTGAAGTGCACATGGACATTCTCTAAGGTAGACCACAGGTTAGGTCACAAAATAAGTCTTAACAAATTTAAGAAGATTGAAATTATACAAAGTATCTTCTCTGACCACAATGGAATAAAAATAGAAATCAGTAAAAGAAGGAAAATCCACAAATATGTGGAAATTAAACAACACGCTCTTAACCAATGGGTTAAAGAAGAAATCACAAAGGAACTTAGAAAATACCTAGAGACAAATGAAAACAAACACAATATGCCAAAGCTTATGTGATGCAGCAAAAGCAATACTAAGAGGGAATTTTATAGTGGTAAGTGCTTACATTAAAAAGATCTCGGGGCGCCTGGGTGGCTCAGTCGTTAAGCGTCTGCCTTCGGCTCAGGTCATGATCTCAGGGTCCTGGGATCGAGCCCTGCATTGGGTTCCCTGCTCCCTCTCCCACTCCCCCCCTGCTTGTGTTCCCTCTCTCACTGTGTCTCTGTCAAATAAATAAATAAAATTCTTAAAAAAAAAAAAAAGATCTCAAATCCATAATCTAACTCTACATCTTGAGGAGATGAAAAAAGAACAAACTAAACCCAAATTTTGAAGGAAAGGAATAATGAAGATTAGAGCAGAGGTAAATGAATTAGAGAATAGAAAAACAATAAAAAAATCAACAAAATCAAGAGTTGGTGTTATGGACTGAATGTTTGTGTTTTCCCCCAAATTAATATATTAAAGCCCTAATCCGCAATGTGATAGTATTTGGAGGTGGGGCCTTTGAGGGATAATTAGGTTTAGATGAAGTCTTGAGGGTTGGAACCTCAAGTTGGGATTAATGCCCATATAACAAGAGGGAGAGAGAGAGAAATCTCTGTCTTCAAGCAGATGCACCAAGAGAAGGCCGTGTGAGCACACAGCAAGAAGGCAGCTATCCGCAAGCCAGGCAGAGGGTTCTCACCAGCACCTGACCATGCTGGCACCCTGATCTCGGACTTTCAGCCTCCAGAACTGTGAGAAATAAATATCTGTTTTTTAAGCCACCCAGTCTATGATATTTAATGGTAGCTTGAGCAGACTAAGACACTTTTTTGAAAAGATTGACAAAATTGACAATGCCCTAGTTAGACTAAGAAAAAGAGGCAGAAGACTCAAATAACTAAAACTAGAATTGAATCAGTGCATATTACAGCTAATATCACAGAAATTAAAAGGATTATAAGAGACTACTATGAACAATTCTATAATAACAAATTGGATAACCTAGAAGAATTGGATAAATTCCCAGAAATATACAACTTATCAAGACTGAATCATAAAGAAATAAAAAATCTGGACAGATTTATAACTGGTAAGGAGATTGAAGCAGTAATCAAACACCTTCCAACTAGGACCAGATGACTCATTGAAGGATTCTACCCAACATTTAAAGAATTAACACCAATCCTCCTCACAATCTTCCAAAGAATTGAAGAAGGAACACTTCCAAACTCATTCTGTGAAGCCAGCATTATCTTGATACTAAAACTAGATAAAGACACAAGAAAATAAAACTGTAGAAAAATATTCCTAATGAGTAACAGTGTAAAAATCCTCAACAAAATACTAGTAAACTGAACGAAACAGCACACTAAAAGGATTATACACCATGATCAAATGGGATTTACACTTAGAATGCAAGGATGGTTCAATAATGAAAAAAATCAATAGAACACTCCACATTAACAAATATAGGACAAAATCCACATGATTATCTCAGTTGATGCAGAAAAACACTTGACAAAATATAACACTCTTTCATGATAAAAGCACTCAACAAACTAGGAATAGAAGGAAACTGCCTTAACATTAAATACATATATATATATGAAAACCCCACAGCTGACATTATACTCAACTATGAAAGGCTGAAAGTTTTTATTCTAAGATCAGAAACAAGGTGAGGATGCCTCCTTTTATCACTACTATTCAACAGAGTACTAGAATTCTTAGCCAGAGCAATTAGACAAGAGAAAGAAATTAAAAAGCACCTAAATTGGAAAGGAAGCAAAATTATCTCTGATCACAGATTATATGATCTTTTATGTACAAAACCTTAAAGACTCAACACACACACACACACACACAAACACAAGGTTACAATTAATAATTTTAGCAAAGTAGCAGGATACAAAGTCAACACACAAAAATCAGTTACACTTATATACACTACCAATAATTAATCCAAAAAGGAAATTAAGAAAATAATCCCATTTACTATAGCATCAAAATGGGTAAAATATTTAGGAATAAACACAACCAAGGAGGTGAAAGACTTGTACACTGAAAACTATAAAGCATTGCTAAAAGAAAAGAAAGAGGAGGGCGCCTGGGTGGCTCAGATGGTTGGGCGACTGCCTTCGGCTCAGGTCATGATCCTGGAGTCCCGGGATCGAGTCCCGCATCGGGCTCCCTGCTCGGCAGGGGGTCTGCTTCTCCCTCTGCCCTCTTCCCTCTCGTACTGTCTCTCATTCTCTCTCTCAAATAAATAAATAAAATCTTAAAAAAAAAAAAAAAAAGAAAGAGGATACAAATGAATGGAGATATCCTCTCCTTATGGGTTGGGAGACTTAATATTGTTAAATATGTACACTATTCAAAACGATGTAAAGATTCAGTGCAATCCATATTAAATCCCAGTGGTATTTTTTTTCTACAGAAGTGGGAAAAAAGTCCAAAATTTATATGGAATCTTAAAATATCCCAAGTATCCAAAACAATCTTGAAAAAGAACAAAATTGGCAGCCTCACAATTCCTGATTTCAAAACATAATACAATGAAACACTAATTAAGACAGTGTGGTACTGGTATAAAGGCAGATGTATAGACCAACAAAACAGAATAGAGCCCAGGAACAAACCTGTGCATATATACCCTAGTAATTTTTGACCAAGTTGCCAAGACTAGAAAATGGGGAAAGGACAGTCTCTTCAACAAATAGTATTGGGATACCTGGATATCCACATGCAAAAAAAAAGGAGTTGGACTCTTACCTTACACCATATACATAAATTAAAATGGATTAAAGACCTAAATGTAAGACCTAAAGCTATACACTTCCTAGAAGAAAACAGGAAAAAAGCAAGACATTGGAGTTGGCAATGATTTCTTGAATATGATACCAAAATTACAATCAACAGAAACAAAAATAACCTACATCAAACCTAAAAACGTCTATATGTCAAAGGAAACAATCAGAGTGAAGAGGCAGTCTATGAAATAAGAGAAAATATTTGTAAATCATATATCTGATAAAGGATTAATATCCAAACTATACAGAGAATTTCTACAACTCAACAAGAAAACAAATAACTGGATTAAAAAATAGGCAAAGGGGGCGCCTGGGTGTCTCAGTCGGTTAAGTAGTCGACACTTGGTTTTGGCTCAGGTCATGATCTCAGGGTCCTGGGATAGAGCCCTGTTCTGATAGAGTGCGTCAGGGTCCATGCTCAGTGGGGAGTCTGCTTGTGGATTCTCTCTCTCCTTTTGGCTCTCCCCTGGCTCATGCTCTCCCTCTCAAATAAAAATACATAAAAATCTTTTTTAAAAAATACATAAAAGGGGCGCCTGGGTGGCTCAGTCATTAAGCATCTGCTTTCGGCTCAGGTCATGATTCCAGGGTCCTGGGATCGAGCCCCACATCAGGCTCCCTGCTCCGCGGGAAGCCTGCTTCTCCCTCTCCCACTCCCCCTGCTTGTGTTCCCTCTCTCACTGTGTCTCTCTCTGTCAAATAAATAAATACAATCTTTAAAATAAATAAATAAGTAAACGATTTATTATTTATTTGAGAGAGACTGAGTGAGAGAGAACACAAGCCAGGGGAGAGGCAGAGGGACAGGGGCAAGCAGAGCCCCCGCTGAGCAGGGAGCCTGATGTGGGGCTTGATCCCAGGGCCTAGGATCATGACCTGAGCCAAAGGCAGATGCCTGACTGACTGAGCCACCAAGTGCCTCTAAATAAATCTTTAAAAAAAATTAAAAATAGGCAAAGAACTTCAATAGACTGTTCTCCAAGGAAAATATACAAATGGCCAATAAGCAATTGAAAAGATGCTTAACATCACTGATTGTAAGAGAAATGCAAATCAAATCAACGAGATATCACCTCACACCCACTAGGATGGCTACTATCAAAACAAGGAAATGAGTGCTGGGGAGGACCCGGAGAAATTGGAACCATGTTGATAGCTATGTAAAATGGTGCAGCTGCTATGAAAAGTGGCATATAGGTTCAACACACTAAACATAAGAGTTGCCACTGACTCAGCAATCCCACTTCTGGGTATATATCCAAAAGAATTCAAAGCAGGATATCAATGAGATATTTGCACACCATGTTCACTGCAGCATTATTTACAGTTGCTGAGAGGTGCAAACAACCCAAATTCCACCGACAGATGAATGGATAAAGAAAATGTGGTTCATCCAGACAATGGAATAGTTTCAGTGTAGCAAGATGTAGTTCTAGAGATCTGTAACACAACAATGTGAATGTACACACTACTTAACACTACTAAACTATACACTTAAAAATAATTAAGATGGTAAACTTAATGTTATGTGGGGTATTTTTTACAGTAAAAAATTTTGAGCTATTATTGCCTTTTAGGCTTTCCTTTCCCTATGAATATACACTTTCCCCCCAAATTGGACCACATTGTACGTACAATTTTATAACACACTTTTGCCCAATGACTACAGAATAAAAGCTTTTCCAAGTTATTCCCTATTCTTTTTGGTCATTTAGAAAGGTTGTCTAGTATTCCAATATATGAATCTACCACAATTAAAGGATTTCCTGTTGCCAGACACTAGATTGAATTATTTTATCTCTATGAATAATATTGTGTAGCTAACTCATGCTAGGCCTTTTAAATAGTGTTAATACCAGCTGTTTTCTCTCTCCTCTTCTAGTCAGCTCTCAGCTATTACACTCCTTCCCTTCTAATCTCTGACGAGATAACCAAGCTAGCTAAATCAGTTTACTTGTAATAAAACCTTGTTTGCAGTTCTGTCATTTGCTCCCATTCTAGGTAAACAGCTGTTGCAGCAGATGCTAAGGGAGGCGGTTTTTGCTTATTTGGGGGTAGACTTTCCAGTTAGACCTGCTCTCCCAGAACTGGTTCTTGCCTCACTGAATAAATCCAGATGGTGGCACCCAATCTTGTGGTTGCTTTTTCCCCCTTCCACTCAGTCTACCTGGCCACCACCTCACTGGTACCTGTTTCTGATTCTCTGAAGCCCTGCTGCCCCTTAGCTAGGTCTAGGAGTTCAGGCCTTCTTGGACTCCTGATACCGGTATGCATGCATACTGCTGGTTTCTACTTTGTGAACTCCTTTGCTTTAGTTTCTCACACTTTAAGGTAACCCATAGCACTTACTTGTGCTTTTTGACAACAGCACTATTTGACCACCTTGGATCTAAGTTCACCACATTGTGTGTGTGTGTGCGTGTACGCACACAAGCACATAAAATAGGCTTCAACAATTACAACAAAACTCCCAAATCACATATTACTAAGTGGCCTAAATGCAGCTAGATAGGCTCCTGTTTCCCGAACTTGCTTATAGAATCTCATGAAACACTTGGTAAAAAACACATCCCCAGGCCTAGCCTAGTGGATATATTATTCTGGATATGTAATTTAACAAATACCCATGAAATGCTCATAATCAGGGAAATTTAGAAACCCTACATCCTAAATTTGCATCCTCAGAGCCTCCGGGACACTGGGAAGTTCAACTGGGACCCACAGGAGACTGGTAAGCCTGGTAGCATAGGGTTTATTCCATCATGTAGGAAAATCCTAGGAGTGAACTGTAAGTTGGAATAAACATTGGAAAGTCTTTAGAGCTTGAGACCAAAGCAGGAACTTAGGATCTTTTTACTCTTTCTACACCAAGGATGGTTTCAAACATACACCCCTGGGCTACAGATTCCATCCCAAATTTGGGGTTTCCATAAGTGTTAGCTGGGAGTCTTACAGTTCTTTGAAAGAAGTAACGTAGAATCTGGATCTTCTGAGGACTGAATTCTTTGCATAAACACTAAAATCATTTGGGGTGCATATCTTTTATTAGGGAAGATTCTATTTTCACATTAAAAAGTCAGCTCAATCCCAGATCTATGTCAGGTAACTGTTCTGTAGTGTGAGCTATGTCATTATAGAGGCTTGAGAGGGGAGAACAGAACTCTGACACATAAGCCTCAACTCATGACAAGTCTTTGGCTTCTTGGATCAACTATATATAAGATATACAAGATATTACTCTTTCTATCTGAGGGCCCAGGGAAATCGAAACATGTCTGAGAATTCTAATAGAAGCTCACCAGAGCTGGTGAATCCTGACCCCACCACATACACTATTTATTCATGTGAGACCACAATTTCCATTCCTCTTAAAATCTGCCAACTTGATGGGATAATATGAGGAATAAATAGAATTTATACAAAAGTTAGGCCCTGATAAAAATCAGTCTAAAGGGCGCCTGGGTGGCTCAGATGGTTAAGCGTCTGCCTTCGGCTCAGGTCATGATCCCAGGGTCCTGGGATCGAGTCCCACATCGGGCTCCTGACTCAGCAGGGAGTCTGCTTCTTCCTCTCCCTCTGCCTCTCCCACTGCTCATGCTCTCTCTCTCTCTGTATCTCTGTGTCTCAAATGAATAAATAAAATCTTAAAAAAAAAAAAATCAGTCTAAAATTGTTGAAAACTCAAATGGTGGTCCATGAGAGAGTCAAAATTGGAGGGTAACAAAATTATGAAGGGAAAATGCCTTTTGTAGGTCTGAAAAATAAAAAGAAGTTTAAAAACTGTTATCTCTAACAGAATTTTCTTTAACATGAAGGATAGTCATGCTACTGATGTTTATTTGGTAAGTAAGCTAAATACTTAAGCATTTTTTCCCCTAATGGCTTTAGAAATGATCTCCTTCCTAAAAAAAAAAAAAAAAAAAAAGTTTAAAGGTAAACCTTTAAAGGGTAAAGTTATATAGTAAAGTTATATAGATGGAAATGCACTTTATTCAGTGCACACTGACAGTTTTTTTCACTTCCATTCATAAGTAAAAAAAAAAAAAAACCTCTTGCGAGTATTTTTTATGCTTTACTTAGAAAAAAATATTGAATTTCAAGATCCCTAAAGTTATTAATGAAAGCTTATATTCCTTATTAGTATATATGTACATATATACATACATACGTATATATTTGAACTACTCAAAGCAATTTTATACAAACCACTCAAAACAATTTTAAGAGCTGTTCTTTTCTGTATTTAAAATTGTCCTTTCAAATATTTAGAAGTTCTGCAGGTGGTGGCTTTAAAGGAATTTTTCCCAGAGTAAATTTCTTGGACTGAAATTGTTCTAGTTCTTCTGCTGTTAATTGATCCCTGGGTGTGAATAATTCATTATCTGTGGTGGTGCTGCCATTTGAGACTGGGAGAGAGGTGGATATGCTACTATTTCCAAAGGTGTCACTAGATGACTTGGAAAAAGCAGTGTGAGAATGTGAGCCTAGACTACCAAAACCAGCCACAGAAGTGCCACTTCCAAAGGCTGGGGCCCCTGGAGCTCCAAAAGAGCCTGCTGCCATGGAAGCTGGAAATCCTGAAAATCCAGGTGATCCAAAACCAGAAGCTGCAGGACTTTTAAAAGAAAATGAAGCAGCAGATGTGACTGCAGGCTTCCCAAATCCAAACGTTGGAACAGAAGTAGTGATGGCAGAACTGGCAGAGGATGCAGCTCCAAATGCTGGAGTATTCCCGAACACAGGAGGACTTCCAGAAGGGGCAGAGGCAAATCCAGAGCTTGGTTTAAAACTAAAATTCTGAGCATTAGCACTGCTGCTGTTATTCACTGCAAAACCTACAAAAACCAGAAAAAGGAAAAAATAACCTGTTATAGTCAGAAAATGTAGCCATATTAACCACCCCTCCCTTTTTTTCTTATTTCTGCCACATTTGAATGTTGAGAAGCTTATTGGGTGGAAGGAAAAGTGAAAATAAGAAGCTAGAACAAACCCGCTAAACCCTGTTGTCCTTTCTGCTGTACTGATCTCATTTATCATCCTCACTCATGGAGACAGCTTTGAGAAACCTCTGGGATTAGGGGGTGGACTTTCACTTTCTGTCTCAACTCCAAATAAATCAGCTACATCCATTATCAAAGAAGTAACTCTTTCCTTAGCTATATTCGTTTAAGCAAATGTAGAGTGGTCACTTCATCTCAGTTTTCTCCTGTATAAATGGAGTGATTCTCAAGCCCCTTCCAGCTCTCAACTAAGATGAATCTGATGAAATCCTACTCTAATGATTGACATCTCTAGTTTTTGGCTAAAATTTTTCCTGAGTTGCCATTTTTATTTTTATACTTTTTATGACCATTCAAACTCCTCAGTCCTAATTTGCCTTTTTGTCTCTGAGAACCACTGGGTTACCTCGTATCCTAACTTAAAACAATTTTTCTTTTAAACTAAAAAAAAAAACAACAAAGTGACGCAGTATTGTCACTTGAGAATACTATACTATTATACACAGTCAGAATAAGGTCCTCAAGGTGCTGCTACCATAGCTATTATGTATTCCTATAAAACTTTTGAAAACCCATTCCTAAAATATACTTTGAAAGCCTGAGCCATAGGGTCTTTCAAAAAAACATGCCCAGTCTGACCCCTATTTTACAAATGACTGATGAGCCAAATTCTTTGAAGCTCCGTTATAGAAGGTAGGAGAATCTGCAAGGATGATTTAAAAATCACTTAAAGAGAGGGAGGAAGATGGTGGAGGAGTAGGAGACCTTAGTTTTCTCTGGTCCCTGGAATTCAGCTAGATAGCTATAAAATCATTCTGAACACCTGTGAACTCAACTGGAGATCTAAGAAAAAAATTGCTGCAATTCTACAAATAGAAAAGCGACCACTTTCTGCAAGGTAGGAGATGCAGAGAGGTGAATCCGAGGTGATGTATCCAAAGATAAACCTTGGGGGGTGGGGGGGAGCCTCTGCAAGCCAGCTACCAGAAAGTAATACAGCAGCGGAGCGCAAAGTGGGAACTTGCAGAAGTCTGCTCAGGTGAGGGACATCCCTGCCTGAAAGGCGCTCAGGTGGTGAAGCAGGGCAGAATCCTAGGTGGGACAGTGTGATCTCAGGATCCCAGAGGGCAAAGGAAGACCAGGGGGGCCTGTGTGTGGCAGAGTTCCCAAGCATCAGAGCCAGGAAGCTGGCTGCAAACAGCGAGCTCAGGAGTGGGCTTTCTGCTTAGTGTTCCCATAAAATGCGAACCGTGGTGTGGTCGGGCAACCATTTTCTGAGCAGGGGCCCAGCAAGTGGGAGAACTGTTGCGAGACCCTCCTTTTTCCCCCAGGGAGGAGGGGTGCAGGTGTGAGCTGCAGGAGTCTGCAGGGTTTGGAGACTTGAAACAGAGTTGCGTGCCTGAGATACAAACACTTGGTCACAGGCTGGGTGAGCACAGAGTGCTGACAGATCAGGGAGACAGCTTTTCCCTGAGGGTGCACTAAGGAGTGGGGGGGGGGGGGGGGAGGGGGCGGGGTGTGAGCCTTCAGCTCCAGGGTTAGAGACTGGGGGGAGACCGCCATTTTGATTCTCATCCTCTAACGCAGCATGGAAAGCCGTCAGGGAACAAAAGCCACATAGAGCAATCTGGAGTGCTTGCACTTAGCACGGCCCCCTGGCAAGGGCAGTGCAATTCCACCCAGGACAAAGACACATGAGAATCAGTGCAATCGGCCCTTCCCCCAGAAGATCACCAAGAACATCCGGCTATGACCAAGTTTACTGATCACAGAGAACTGCAAAACTTCAGCGCTAGGGGAAAATAGTATATAGTATTTGTGGTATTTTATCATGATTCTTCAGTCTTTCAATTTAAAAAAAAAATACTTTATTTATTTATTTGACAGAAAGAGAGAGAGAGTGCACAAGCAGGGGGAGGGGCAGGCAGAGGGAAAAGCAGGCTTCCTGCAGAGCAGGGAGCCTGATGTGAGGCTCGAGCCCAGGATGCTGGGGTCATGACCTGAGCCAAAGGCAGACACTTAACTGAGCCACCCAGGCGCCCTACAGTCTTTCAATTTAACTTTTTTTCCCTTTTCCTTTTCAACCAATTTCTTATTTTATCAATTCTTTTAAGTCTTTTTTATTTTCATTTTTACAGTTACATTCTATCCTTTCACTGTATTTAATTTTATTTTTGTACATACATAAGTTTTTCGTTCTTTACAACTTTAGGATCTAGTTTTCTAACAAACAGACCAAAATACACCCAGGATCTCTTGTATTGCTCTGTTCTGTTCATTTGTCTAATTATATTCTCTCTTTCTCTTTTTAATTTTCTTTTCAGTTTCTGGCCTCTTCCGATTTGTTCACTGTATATTTCTCTGGGGTTGTTGTTGCTATTTTAGCCTTTTGTTCTCTCATTCATCTATTCCTCTATGGACAGAATGACAAGACATAAAAACTCACCTCAAAAAAGAGAACAAGAGGCAGTACTGACTGCCAGGGACCTAATTACTATGGATATAAGTAAAATGTCGGAACTAGAGTTCAGAATAACGATTACAGAGACACTAGTTGGGCTTGGAAAAAAGCATAGACGACACTAGAGAGTCCCTTTCTGGAGAAATAAAAGAACTAAAATCCAATCGAGTCGAAATCAAAAAGGCTATCAAAGAATGCAATAAAAAATGGAGGCTCTAACTATTAGGATAAATGAGTCAGAAGAGATAATTAGTGATATAGAAGACAAAATGATGGAGACTAAAGAAGCTGAGAAAAAGAGAGATAAACAACTACTGGATCACGAGAGGAGAAGTCGAGAGATAAGTGATACCATAAAGTGAAACAATATTAGAATAATTGGGATCCCAGAAGAGGAAAGAGAGAGAGGGGGGCAGAAGGTATACTGGAGCAAATTATAGCGGAGAACTTCCCTAATCTGGGGAAGGAAACAGGCATTCAAGTCCAGGAGGCACAGAGAACCCCCCTCAATATCAATAAAAATAGGTCAACACTTCGACATATAGTAGTGAAGCTTGCAAACTTCAGAGACAAAGAGAAAATCCTGAAAGCAACTCAGGACAAGAGGTCCTTAACCTAAGAGGGTAGAAACATTTGAGTGGCAGCAGACCTAGCCACAGAGACCTGGCAGGCCAGACAGGACTGGCATGATATATTCAGGGTGCTAACTGAGAAAAATATACAGCCAAGAATACTTTATCCGATAAGGCTGTCATTCAGAATAGAAGGAGAGATAAAGAGCTTCCAGGACAAACAGAAACTAAAAGAATTTGTGATCACTAAACCAGCCCTACAAGAAATATTGAAGAGGATCCTTTAGGCAAATTGAGAGCCCCAAAGTAACAAAGACCAGAAAGGAACAGAGACAATATATAGAAACAGTGACTTTATAGGTAATAAAACGGCACTAAATTCATATTTTTCAATAGTTACTCTGAATGTAAATGGACTAAATGCCTCAATCAAAGGACACAGGGTATCAGATTGTTAAAAAAGCAAGACCCATCCATATGCTGTCTGCAAGAGATTCATTTTAGACCCAAAGACACCTCCTGATTGAAAGTGAGGGGGTGGAAAACCATTTATCATGCTAATGGACATCAAAAGAAAGCTGGGGTGTCAATCCTTATATCAAACAAATTAGATTTTAAACCAAAGACTGAAATAAGAGATAAGGAAGGACACTATATCATAATTAAAGGGTCCATCCAACAAGAAGACCTAACAATTGTAACTATTTATGCCCCTAACATGGGAGCAGCCATTTATACATAAACCAATTAATAACAAAATTAAAGAAACATATCAACAATAATACAATAAGAGTAGGGGACTTTAACACCCCACTCACTGTAATGGACAGATCATCTGAGCAGAATATCAACAAGGAAATAAGTGCTTTAAGTGACACACTGGACCAGATGGACTTCACAGATATAGTCAGAACATTCCATCCCAAAGCAACAGAATACACATTCTTCTCTAGTGCACATGGAACATTCTCCAGAATAGATCACATCCTGGGTCACAAATCAGGTCTTAACTGGTACCAAAAGATTGGGATCATTCCCTGCATATTTTTGGACTACAGTGCTTTGAAACTAGAACTCAACCACAAGAGGAAAGTCAGAAAGAACTCAAACACATGGAGGCTAAAGAGCATCCTACTAAAGAATGAATGGGTCAACTAGGAAACCAAAGAAGAATTTAAAAAAACTCACGGAAACAAATGAAAAGGAAAACACAACTGTTCAAAACCTTTGGGATGCAGCAAAGGCAGTCCTAACATGAAAGTATATAGCAATACAGGCCTTTCTCAAGAAACAAGAAAGGTCCCAAATAGAGAACTTAACCTTACATCTAAAGGAGCTGGAGAAAAAACAGCAAACAAAGCCTAAACCCAGCAGAAGAAGAAAATTAATAAAGATTAGAGCAGAAATCAATGAAATAGAAACCAAAATAATAGAACAGATCAATGAAACTATGAGCTGGTTCTTTGAAAGAATTAATAAGATCAATAAACTCCTGGCCAGACTTACCAAAAAGAAAAGAGAAAGGACCCAAATAAATAAAATCATGAACGAAAGAGGGGAGATCACAACCAACACCAAAGAAATACAAACAATTATAAGAACATATTATGAGCAACTATATGCCAACAAATTAGGCAACCTGGAAGAAATGGATGCATTCCTAGAGACCCATAAACTACCAAAACTGAAACAGGAAAAATAAAAACCTAAACAGACCCATAACCAGCAAGGAAATTGAAGCAGTCACCAAAATCTCCCAACAAACAAGAGTCCAGGGCCGGATGGCTTCCCAGGGGAATTCTAGCAAACATTTATTTTTTATTTTTTATTATTATTTTTTTTCTACCAAACATTTAAAGAAGAATGAATACCTATTTTCTGAAGCTGTTTCAAAAAATAGAAATGGAAGGAAAACTTCCAAATGCTTTCTGTGAGGCCAGTAATACCCTGACCCCACCAAAAAGGAGAATTACAGATCAATATCCCCAGTGAACATGGATGTAAAAATTCTCACCAAGATACTAGCCAATAGGATCCAACAGTACATTAAAAGGATTATTCACCATGACTGAGTGGGATTTTTTCCTGGGCTGCCAGGGTGGTTCAACATCCACAAATCAATCAATGTGATACAGTACATTAATAAAATAAAGGACAAGAACCATATGATCCTCTCAATAGATGCAGAAAAAGCATCTAACAAAGTACAGCATCCTCTCTTGATTAAAACTCTTCACAGTGTAGGGATAGATGGAACATACCTCAATATCATAAAAGCCATCTATGAAAAACCCACAGTGAATATCATTCTCAATGGGGAAAAACTGAGAGCTTTTCCCCTAAGGTCAGGAACATGACAGGGCTGTCTGCTATCACCACTATTATTCAACAAAGAAGTCCTAGCTCCAGAAATGAGATAACAAAAAGAAATAAAAGGCATCTGAATCAGCAAAAAAGAAGTTAAACTCTCACTCTTTGCAGATGACATGATACTCTATGTGGCAAACCCAGAAGACTCAACCCCAAAACTTCTAGAACTCATACAGGAACTCAGCAAAGTGGCAGGATATAAAATCAATGCACAGAAATCAGCTGTATTTCTATATACTAACAATGAGACACAAGAAAGAGAAATTAAGGAGTCAATCCCACTTACAAATGCACCAAAAACCATGACACACCTAGGAGTAAACCTAACCAAAGAGGCAAAGGATCTGTACTCAGAAAACTATAGAATACTCATGAAAGAAAATGAGGAAGACACAAAGAAATGGAAAAATGTTCCATGAGCATGGATTGGAAGAACAAATATTGTTAAAATGTCTATGCTACCTAGAGTAATCTATATATTTAATGCAATCCTTATCAAAAGACCATCAACTTTTTTCACAGAATTGGAACAAATAACTCTAAAAATTGTATGGAACCAGAAAAGACCCTGAATAGCCAAAGGAACAAAACAGACACACAGATCAATGGAACAGAATAGAAAACCCAGAAATGGGCCCTCAAATCTATGGTCAACTAATCTTTGACAAAGTAGGAAGAGTATCCAATGGAAAAAAGACAGTCTCTTCAACAGATGGTCTTGGAAAATTGGACAGCCACATGCAGAAGAATGAAACTGGACCATTTCCTTACACCATACACAAAAATAGACTGAAAATGGATGAAAGACCTAAATGTGACACAGGAATCCATCAAAATCCTAAAGGAAAACACATGCAGCAACCTCTGTGACCTTGGCCACAGAAATTTCTTGCTAGACACGTCTCCAAAGGCAAGGGAATCGAAGGCAAAAACGAACTATTGGGACTCCATCAAGATAAAAAGATTTGCACAGCAAAGGAAACAGTCAACAAAACCAAAAGACAACTGACAGAATGGGAGAAGATACTTGCAAATGTCTTATCAGAAAAAAGGCTAGTAGTTAAAATCTATAAAGAACTTATCAAACTCAACACCCAAAGAACAAATAATCCAATCAAGAAATGGGCAGAAGACATGAACAGACATTTCTGCAAAGAGGACATACAAATGGCTAACAGACATATGAATAAATGCTCCACATCACTTGCCATCAGGAAATTCAGATCAAAACCACATTGAGATACCACCTTACACCAGTTAGAATGGCTAAAATTAATAAGACAGGAAATGACAAACGTTGGCGAGGATGTGGAGAAAGGGGAACCCTCTTACACTGTTGGTGGGAATGCAAACTGGTGCAGCCACTCTGGACAACAATATGGAGGTTCCTCAAAAGTTAAAAACAGAGCTATCCTATGACCCAGCAACTGCACAACTAGGTATTTATCCAAAGGATACAAACACAGGGATTCGAAGGGGCACATGCACTCCAATGTTTATAGCAGCAAAGTCCACAATAGCCAAACTATGAAAGAGCCCAGATGTCCATTGACAGATGAATGGATAAAGAAGATGGACTATTATTCAGCCATCAAAAAAAAAAAAAGAAATCTTGCCATTTGCAATGACATGGATGGAACTAGAGGGTATTATGCTAAGTGAAATAAGTCAATCAAAAAAAAAAGTCAATCAGAGAAAGACAATTATCATGATTTCACTCATATGTGGAATTTAAGAAACAAAACAGAGGAGCATAGTGGGAGGGAGGGAAAAATAAAACAATGAAATCAGAGGGAGACAAACCATAAGAGAATCTTAATCATAGGAAACAAACTGAGGGTTGCTGGAGGGGAGGGGGTCAGGGGGATGGGGTAACTGGGTGATGGGCATTAAGGAGGGCATGTGATGTAATGAGCACTGGGTGTTGTATGCAACTGATGAATCACTGAACTCTACCTCTGAAACTAATAATACACTGTATGTTAACTAAATGAATCTAAATTTTAAAAAATAAAAATATTAAAAAAAATAAAATGCCACTTAACACACCTTCAGACTTTATGATCTAAAACCTCTAAAATCCTGGAGCACCTGGGTGGCTCAGTCGGTTAAGCTGCTGCCTTCAGCTCAGGTCATGATCCCGGGGTCCTGGGATCAAGCCCCGCATTGGGCTCCCTGCTCAGCAGGAAGCCTGCTTCTCCCTCTCCCTCTGCCTGCCTCTCTGCCTACTTGTTCTCTCTCTCTCTCTGTCAAATAAATGAATAAAATCTTTAAAATAAAATAAAATAAAACCTCTAAAATCCTATGTTTCTAAAATTGACGAAGTTTTGCATTACTTTATCATTTACCTGGTGATCCAAATGTTACTGCTTGTGTACTGCCAAATCCAAATGCAGGTGCTGCTTGATTTACTCCATCCTTTACAGCTGAGAGCTTTAAAAAAAAAAAAAAGTAGGCAAATAATAAAGTAATTGATGAATAATTCTTAATTACCTTTTCTATATACTTTACAGCTAAATTCAATTTTAAAAACGTATTCTTAGGGGCACCTGGGTGGCTCAGTCAGTTAAGCGGCTGCCTTCGGCTCAGGTCATGATCCCAGAGTCCTGATCGAGCTCCACATCAGGCTCCCTGCTCAGTGGGGAGCCTGCTTCTCCCCCTGCTGCTCTCCTAGTTGTGCTCTCTGTCTCTCTCTCTGACAAATAAATAAAATCTTAAAAACAGAAAAAACAAAAAAAACCCCGTACACTTAAAAATATGTTTAACATAGAAAAATGCCCATAATATGAATATGCACAGAAAAAGATGGACCAATCTCAATGAGGTAAGAGCAACTGGCTGATGAATTATGGGTGATTTTAATTTTATTTATGCTTCTAAAATATTTTCTAAATTTCTTCAATGAATATGTATTAAAATGAAAAAAAATTTTAATAATACATTTCATTGTCTATAGGTTCATTATCAAGAAACCTAGATTTCGGGGCACCTGGGTGGCTCAGTTGTTAAGCATCTGCCTTTAGCTCAGGTCATGATCCCAGGGTCCTGGGATCGAGCCCCGCATCGGGCTCCCTGCTCTGTAGGAAGCCTGCTTCTCCTTCTCCCACTCCCCCTGCTCGTGTTCCTGCTCTTGCTCTCTGTCAAAAAAAAAAAAAAAAAAAAAAACTTAAAAAAACCCCTAGATTTCATGTAAAAGGCCTTTAGAGGCTACCCAATCTGCTTACTCTAATACTTGAACTGAAGTTGATTCACAATTACATTAAAAGCTTACTATTAAAATCTAGTAAACATTTCCTATTCCCTGAGAATACTTTGTTCTTGCTATGTTCTACTCTAGAAATGTCTTTCATCTCTGCATAGTGAAATCTTAATCTCCCTTTCTTTTTTTTTTTAAGATTTTATTTATTTATTTGAGAGAAAAAGCACGAGCGGGGGGTTAGGGGCAGAGGAAGTTGCAGACTCCCCGCTGAGCAGGGAGCCCGATGTGGGGCTCGATCCCAGGATCCTGAGATCATGACCTGAGCCAAAGGCAGACGCCCAACTGACTGAGCCACCCAGGTGCCCCTTTAATCTCCCTTTTGAGGAACTTTCCCTTACTCCTTACCTCCAAGAACCTTTTCCTAATCAACTCAAACAGATACAAATTTCTCTCATTTGGAAGCCTCAATAGCATTTTTCAAAAATCAATTTCATTGAGGTATGGTTTGTATGCAATAAAATGCATCCGTCACACATACATATGGATTTCAATGAGTTTTGACAAACTTAATAGCTACCACCACAATCAAGATTTAAAACATTTCCATTACCCCTAAAAGATCCTTTGTGTTCCTTCTCAGTCAAGCCTCTCCCAAACCCTAGGTACAGTGAGCCACTCATCTCCTTCCTATCACTATAGATGAGGTTTATTTTCTTTTTTCCAAAGATTTTTATTTATTTTATTTTTTTTGAAGATTATTTATTTATTTATTTGACACAGAGAGAGAGACAGCGAGAGAGGGAACACAAGCAGGGGGAGTGGGGGAGAGAGAAGCAGGCTTCCCGCGTAGCAGGGAGCCCGATGCGGGGCTCGATCCCAGGACCTTGGGATCATGACTCGAGCCAAAGGCAGACCCCAATGACTGAGCCAGCCAGGCGCCCCCAAAGATTTTTTTTTTCTTTTTATTTATTTATTTGAGAGAGAGAATGAGATAGAGCATGAGAGGGGGGAGGGTCAGAGGGAGAAGCAGACTCCCTGCTGAGCAGAGAGCCCGATGCGGGACTCGGTCCTGGGACTCCAGGATCATGACCTGAGCCGAAGGCAGTCGCTTAACCAACTGAGCCACCCAGGCGTCCCGACCCAAAGAGTTTTAAAAATTTATTTATTTGAGAGAGAGAGTGAGCAGGAGGGAGAGGGAGAGAGAATATGAAGCAGACTCTGCACTGAGCACAGAGACAATGCAGGGCCCAATCTCCACCCTGAGATCATGACCTGAGCTGAAATCAAGAATCAGACACTTAACTGAGCCACCCAGGCGCCCTGATGAAGTTTGTTTTCTTTAGTTTTTGATATAAATGAAATCACATAGTATGTACTTTTTTTTTGATGTTTTTCTAGCTTCTCTCCCTTAGTGTAATATTCATTAACGGGTAAATAGATAAACATATACATACACTGGATTAAAAGAACAAAGAATGAGCTACTTGGCATAAAGAATGAACTACTGATACATGCTAAGCCCCTTGTGGGTGGACTGTCCAAGACCCTCATCTATGGAGGGGCCCCTAGGCAGCTGGCAAAGAGTAAGGAAGTTCTAACCCCAAGGGAAGTTCTGCAGTTCTTTGGACTCAGTTATCCCTTCTGCATTAGCAGTGGTGATGGTGGGCCACCTCTCACACAGGAAGAATACTTCCAAGAAGTCCTACTAAAATTAATGGCATCATAACAACTAAACAGTGAAGAAATGAGCTTACCCAAGAGTCTCACTGTTTAGGAAGTACATATTTAAGAAAGGGGTGGGGTGCTGGAATGGTCACATAGTCATTTACTAAGTTAGGCAACCACAACTCTTATATCCTTTTCAGAAAGTAGAAACATCACCTGAGAAACTGTAAATATCTTATTTCAAAATAAGGTTCTTAAGTTTTTATGGGAATAAAACATTGTATCTTTATTTTTCTTTTTAATTTTTTTTTTTTTAAAGATTTTATTTATTTATTTGACAGAGACACAGCGAGAGAGGGAACACAAGCAGGGGGAGTGGGAGAGGGAGAAGCAGGCTTCCCGCCGAGCAGGGAGCCAGATGCGGGGCTCGATCCCAGGACTCTGGGATCATGACCTGAGCCGAAGGCAGACGCTTAACGACTGAGCCACCCAGGCGCCCCAAAACATTGTATCTTTATTGACAGAGATAATGAATATGCTACAGTCAGGACCCTGTATCTGTGGAGACAAATGGGTATATATCTACTAAAGGCATTTCTATATAAGTCAGGGAACATATGGTGAGTGTTTTTTCAGTCACAAAAGTATACATTAGTCTAAATGTATATTCAGATCATTTTTCAGAGCAATTTCTTTGTAAATGCTGATAACCTTATATACTTGAATTTATGTAATATTTTCAAAACTAGACCACTGAAGTAAAAAACTTTACCCTAAAAATAGTTTTAGGAAAGCAAAGTTATCTGTGCTTTTCTGACTAAGGATCAGAGAGAAAGCAATTTCAGGACTTTAAAAGATGATACAGTATTGAGAATGTGTGTATCATAATTCCTGACAGAGGATTTTAGTTTTGCTTTCCAAATCCAAAGTGAAATTCTCTGCAAAAAAGCAACAGATAAGATACTTCCATAGAAAACTCTCCAATACTCACCAAGGCTATGTTAGTTGATGTATTTAGACTCTTCAATTCATTTATTCTGTTTCTCCATTGATTTATTAACTGTTGGAGGGAATTTAGCTGAAGAGAGAAGACAGAAAAAAATGAGTCAATTTTGAGTGTTTAAGTTTGTTTCTCCAACAACTTCACGTGGTTTGTCAAAATCACAAAAAGTTGATAAGACATTTTTATGGCCCATAACTTGTACAATTTGCCCAAGATGTTCCAGCTGTAGCTCCCTCCCTGTTCTCCAACTCCTGGTGTCACCTGGTTCAGAATCTCAAGTATGTGGCAGCAGAGAGAGGGTTATATCGGGATGGGAGGCAAACATGTGTAGTAGTTGAAATGTTTGATCATGACTGTAGACAACACAAAAATACAGTTTATGTCATTTCCTTTAGGCACCAAACTTATTCAAGCCCAGCTTTTTTATTTTTTGACATCTGATACATGAGAATGTTAATATGTATAAATAGACTGTGTCTTTTTTCACTTTGTTTTTCTAGCATTCATCATGGTGTTTGCACCTAAGAGACGTTCCATAAATGTCAAATGATGAAAGGGTCTGAATTTTTTGGACTGATCGCTGGATAATTTGTAATAAAAATAGTGACATTCCTAGTTATATAGTCAAAATATATTATTACCATTTTAGATAACCAACCAATTTCAAAGAAAGTAATTTAGAAATAAAAATAACAATAGCCTTGTCTTGAGAAAAATTATAGACCTCATCCACTTTGCCAACATACAAGCAAGCCACTATAAACAGAGAAGACAGTAATTAACAGCTAATCTGGTATCAAGGTAGATGAATAGGAAACAAACTTACATAACTCTGTAAGTTATTGCTGGTTAAGAAGTTATGGTATTCAAGCCTCAACTCCTCTGGTGAAATGTCTGTAAAACCTGAAGTGAGGAATCAATTGGAATCTTTAAAATAAATACCAATACTTTTAATAGTATAGTAAAGCTAGAAGTGCTAGACAAGAAAATATGCCGATGTTGATAAGAAAATTTTCATAATCATAAGGAAAAATTTCAAAGCCTATACTCTAATGTTGAACAAAGTATAAAATTAGAATAAAATATAATTGGATATGTGATTTTCAAAGGGGGAAATTTTCTAAAGATAAATGGACTGGAAGGGATAACAAAGAAAAGAAAGGGTTGACCACATATACATTCAAACTGGTCTAAAAAATATTCAGTATGCCAGAAACTATAATAGGCAAAATTAAAAGGCAAATGGTAAACTGAGAAAACCGTGACTGCAACATATATGACAGGAGAAGAGCTAATGTCAATGTATAAATAGTACTTACAAATCATTAAGAAAAATAAGTTAATATGGGCAAAGATAATAAACACCCAATGCTTTATTTAATGGCAAAAATTAAAAATGGATGGTATTTATTGTTATTAAGGGTGTGGTAAAATGGATATTCTCCTAAATTGCCTTTAAGGGAATTAAAAAGGTATTTTTCTGGGAGAACAACTGTCAATAAGCGTTAAATGCCTTAAATATGTTCACACCTTCTGTCCTTAATAGAATTTCTAGGATTTAACCTCAGGCATTAATTAGACATATAAACAAAGAGTTTAATGTATGAAGATGATCATTCTAGTATTTTTAGTAGAGACCAACTGAAAACAAAGTAGGATACAAAACTAGATTACGATTCTAATTTCATATATTTATATGTATACAGGAAATATGGTTGTGTGTGTGTATTCTGAAAGACTCTAAAATGTTATAGTTGTTATCTCTATGAGATCAGGTGATCTTTATTTTATTTACATATTTCCGTGTTTTTCAAGTTTTCTATGACAACAGCCATAAATTTATAATTAGGAAAACTTTTTAAGAAAGTTCAGAATGTTCAGGATATTTTCTACAGAGAATTACTTGTAACCCAGATATCATTAACTCCATGGACCCCTACACCCCAGAATAAATATAAGACTAAATGTTCAAATTAGAACCTTGGATTCTTCTAACAACTTATCTTTATGCCATCTTTATTAACTGTTCAGGCCAAAAAACCTAGGAATCCCCTTGCCTTTCTCTTTCCTCACATCTAATTAATCAGCATCCTGCCAGTTCTAACTCCAAATGGATTTAACCAATTCTGTCTCCACTGCTAGTAACTATAACCCAGTCAGTCACGAGCATTTGTCCCCTAACTCATCTCCTTGCCTCTATTTTGCTTCCCACCCCCTACCACTCCCTACACACCATTTCTTTTCATACAACAGTCCAAGTGAGTTTTTTCTAATCAGATCATGTCCTTCTCCTGCTTAAAGCTCCACATGGCTACCTAGTACAATTAGGCCCAACATGACCTGGCTCCTGGCTGACTCCATGACCTTACGTCCTATGACGCTTTCCCTCGTTCACTCTCCTCCAGTGGTTCAGGCCTCACTAGTCCTCAAACTTGCCAACCTTGTTCCTATAAGGGTGTATGCACTAGTTACTCCTATTGTCAGGAATGTTTTCCTCAAATATTCCTGTGACACCTTCTTTTCACTTAGCATCAGCTTCAGTACTGTCTCCTAAGAATGGATAACCACTCTAGCTAAAGGAAACTGTCCCTCTAGTTACTTTCTCCTCCTTCCAGCCTCCTCTGAACCACAGGACACGGAAAATTATGTGAGTGAGTATTTTCTCAATTCTCTCAAGGGTGGTATGAAAGTAGTATCATTTTAGATGCATAGGAAAAGTTCATTCATTATAATTGAAGTCTAAGGACAGCAGTTGGGTACCTGGGCAGCTCAGGAGGTTAAAATGAAGTCTAAGGACAGCAGTTGGGTACCTGGGCAGCTCAGGAGGTTAAGTGTCTGCCTTTGGCTCAGGTCATGATCCCAGGCTCCTGGGATCGAGCCCCACATTGGGCTCCCTGTTCAGCAGGGAACCTGCTTCTCCCTCTACCTCTCCCCCCTGCTCTTGATCTGTCTCTCTCTCTCTCACACTCTCTCTCAAATAAATAAATCTTAAAAAAAAAATAAGGACAGCAGTTCTCCACCTTTTTAGTCTCAAGACCCAAATAGGTTCTTAAAAATCATTAAACAATCCCAAAAAGCTTCTGCTTACATAGGTTATATATATCAATATTTACCATATTTAAAATGAAAAATAAGAAATATAGAACATAAGGCGCCTGGGTGGCTCAGTTGGTTAAACGACTGCCTTCGGCTCAGGTCATGATCCTGGAGTCCCGGGATCGAGTCCCGCATCGGGCTCCCTGCTCGGCAGGGAGTCTGCTTCTCCCTCTGACCCTCCCCACTCTCATGTGCTCTCCCTCATTCTCTCTCTCTCAAATAAATAAATAAAATCTTAAAAAAAAAATATATAGAACATTATTTGTTAATTCACATAAAAATAAGAAACCAGGGGCGCCTTGGTGGTACAGTCGGTTTTGAGCGTCCAACTCTTCATTTCGGCTCAGGTTGTGAGCTCCGGGTCGTGGGATAGAGCCCTGTGTTGGGCTCCACGCTGGGCTTGGAGTCTACTTGAGATTCTCTCTCTCTCCCTCTTCCTCTGCCCCTCCCCCTACATGTACTCTCTCTCTCTCAAATAAATAAATAAATCTTAAAAAAAGAGGAACCAATTACATATCAACATAAATGAAAAGACTATTTTTCAAAGCAAAAAGTAAAAATTTAGTGAGATGAGCAGCATTGTCTTATGTTTGTAAATTTTTTTTTATATACCTTAATTTAAAAATATTTTATTGCTAAAAAATGTTAACCCTCTTCTGAACTTTCAGCGAGTCATCAGCTTTTTGCTGATGGAGGGTCTGTTTGTAAGTTTTTTCAATGTTTGACTTTAATAGAAGACTGCTGGATTATTATATCTGCTTCTACATTCAATCTGTTGCAATATATTGCCTGAAGTATATGAAGAAAGTCTGTTCTAACACAGATAAGTATTTGGAAATGGAGGACTTAAATAGCTTTTTCACGTAATTGTGGATATTTTTCTTTGACACTACATCAAAACTTGATAGGTTGTAGTTTCTTAAAGGTTAGCTATAATGCAAACGCAAACCATATTAATTAACCTTTTGTACTATTATATTAAATCCAGTGGTTTATCTTGCACTTAGGATGGATTTTTCAGCCATGCATAATTTTCACTTGAAAGCTTGAATTTTGTCACTGGCAATAAACAATCAGTTGTTTTCTTTTAAGTGACAGGCTCACTTCATTAGTTTTTTTAGGAAATGTTGCCAAATACCTAAGTCTAGATAACCACAGTGATCAGTCCTTCTTTTAAGTAAAAATTGTCTGTGAGAAAAGTGGCTAGTTCAGTTCACAACTCAAATGATAACTTCAGTGCCTTCCCTCCAGATAACCATCAGATGTGAGTATGTGGCAGAAGCACTTTCTGTGCACTTCCCATTTTTGTCACACAGATCAAAAAGGTGTGCCCTCAAGGGTCAAAATTAATAAAATCAGTATTTTTACCTCTTTATCAAAAATTTTAAGTGAAAAATGGCATTAAAAAATTTTTTTTTATTGGGGTGCCTGGCTGGCTCGGTCAGAAGAGCATGTGACTCTTGACTCGGGGTTGTGAATTTGAGCCCCACACTGGTTATAGAGATTACTTAAATAAATAAAACTTAAAAAAAAATTTTTTTTTGTATTGACTACTATAGTCTGCTAGTACAGTAGGTTGCCTCTGCCTTGACTCATGCTAAGATACAAGGAGTTTTACTCATCAATGTTTTTGCAACAACACTGCAAATGTCAACAGAGTGAAAATGGCAATTAATGTCTTAGTACTATTATGAAAATTGAATTTTGAGCCTTTAAAAGGGTCTCAGGAATAGGATTGCCAGATATAGCAAATAATAATACAGGATGCCCAGTTAAACTTGAATTTCAGATATATAACAAATACTTTAGTATAAGTATGTCCGAAACATTACATGGAATATTCAGATACTAAAAATATTATTTCTTAGGGGAGCCTGAGTGGTTCAGTTGGCTAAGCGTCTAACTCTTGGTTTCAGCTCAGATCTTAATCTCATGGGTTGTGGGACAGAGCCCTGTGTTGGGCTCCCCGCTCAGCAGGGAGTCTGCTCCCCCCTTTTTCTCTCCCTCTGCCACTCCCCTGGCTTGTGCACTCTGTCTCTCTCTCCCTCTGGAATAAATAAATAAATCTTAAAAAAAAAAAAAACCACTAGTGAAATTATCTTATTTATTTGTATTACTTACGGTCTCCCTCAAGAACATAAGCTCTGTTAAGGGAGGGACCTTATCTGTCTTGCTCATCACTATATCCTTAGAGCTTAGAATAGGGCCTGGCACAAAAGAAATTCTGTAAGTATTTTCTTGAATGATTGAGTGAATAAGTAACTTAGGACTGGTGTGACACCAATGCTCACAGGAATGAGCAGGTAGAGCTGAGACAGAGCAGGGATCCCAGAGTTCTGAGGGACTGCAAGGGTTCTCATCTGCTAGGTACTTGCTGTTTACTCAATAGGGCAGAGGCCCAGGACCATCCAAAGTGGGATTAGAAAATGTGGTGCTCTAGGTTTCAGCTCAGAAAGGGCTTAGGGACTATGGACCAAAGAAAACAGAAGGGAAAAGGGCGTTCTAAAAAAATGCTATCCCTGTAGCCCAGCTAAAGCTCTTTACCTTCACACATTATCTCCAGGATAGATCTCAGCATGCCTTATGAAAAATAACGATCTTTAGAAGAATATATAGGGAAGAAAGGGAGAACAGAATCAGGCAGCCAAGGCCTTAATGGCAAATAGAATGTGTGAATCTTCTATTCACTGCAGGCAGCTAAGAGGTTCTGAAGTTGTACCTATAGGCAACCAAGAAAGCAGAGACTCTTCGAGGGCTTACAGAATTGGAATTGTGGTGGGTGCTGATTTCAGTATTTTCTCATGAGAACTACGTATCTTAAAAGAACTGTATCTTCTAAAAAAAAAAAAAAAAAGAACTGTATCTTCTAATCTTTATTCTGAATTATGAAGTTCTGCCAGAATACTGGGATACTTCAAACAATGTCCAAACTTTCCTAGCTGTAGCTAAGTGTGTGGTTAGTTTACTTGGCATGGTCTTGGTTTTAGAAAATAAGAGTTATAAAACATATTTTAAAAACATACAATTTCTCAATTACCTGAAATATTAGGTTTCTTTTTCATTGGCGAATAAACAGAAAACATCCACTGCCCTGATGATTCCCAAATTTCCATATCTTTTATAATTCCTTCCCTGGGGGAAAAAAAAGAGCAAAGGATCTTTTTCATTTGCTTATTAAAATTTATTGTTTATAATTTTCAATGACTGAAATTTTAAATTGTAGTAAATATATAATTTTATATATTTTTTTTAAAAAAGATTTTATTTAGTTTAGAGAGAGAGTACACGTACAAAGGGAGATGCAGATGGAGAGGGAGAGGGAGAAGCAGACTCCTCGCTGAGGGTGGAGCCTGACACGGGGCTCAATCTTAGGACCCTGAGATCACGACCTGAGCTGAAATCAAGAGTTGGATGCTTAACGCACTGAGCCACAGGCGCCCCTAGATTTTTTCCATTGTATTTTCTGAAGACTATTTTTTTTTTAAGACTTTATTTGACAGAGAGATAGAGAGCACAAGTAGGCAGAGAGGCAAGCAGAGGGAGAGGGAGAAGCAGGTTCTCTGCTGAGCAGGGAGCCCGATGCAGGGCTTGACCCCAGGATCCTGGGATCATAATCTGAGCCGAAGGCAGCCACTTAACCAAATGAGCCACCCAGGTGCCCCTGAAGACTATTCTTTAAAGCAGAATTTATGAACTAAGAACTATATTTCATGATTTTAACTATTACAGTATCAAAGAAGTTCACAGTTTTGGTTTTCCAGTAAACTAAACTATTAGTCAATAGATTTGGTAAGTGAAACTATTAAACTATACATATTTTAAAGAACTAAAATAAAATGTACAATACTAACTTTAATCTTTCTTTGTTCATTATCATAAACATCAATGATCATTTAACTGGAAAAAGACAGAAAGCACCACGCAATATAGAACCATAAAATTTTTAAACTGGGTAGGACTTTGGAGATCATTTTGTCTAATTCTCATGTTTGCAAAAGGGGACAACAGACCCATGCCCATATAGTTAATTTATTGGCAAAGCGATGGATAGATTTGACTCTAAATTCAATGTTTCCCTCCCCCATCCAGAATGCTATAATTAATAAAATGATAGCTACCACAGAGATATTGTATTAAATTCAGGATTTTTACAACATCAAATATAGGAACGAGGGCTTTATTTGCTCTTTTACCTTTTAAAAAAAAATCAATTGTATATGATACATGGCTCAAAATCTTTTCCACTCATTCTAATTTATTATGGGAAATAAAAGACTAATGACTTTTAAGTTCTGTCCTGGGACCTGAGGCAACAGTTACAGAAAACCAGGGACACCAGTCACACATTCTACCATGATCAGGAAATAATAGGGAATCTTCACAGTAGTGAAGGAAATCAAATGAAACCAGTTTCAATGGAGTAGCTGAACCAAAAGTTTTAGGAAGAAATATACCAGCTGCTGTAAGGGACCACCAAAAGTACAAACTGCTTTAAATTACCTCATACTTTGTAAAGAACTAATATTATACAACAAACTTAAGCAAAACTATCTTAGGAAGATATTCACAATATAGTGTTATCAATAGAAAAATGGAAAAAGCATAATTAGCCCTGAGAAGTCACTGTGCTGGTATGGAAAGGTGACATATTTTTAATTGAAATAAAGTATACTCTGACATATGCAAAATAGTGGTTATCTCTGAGTGATAGGATCATGGGTGCATTTTCTTCTTTTTGCTTATTCTGATTTTTTAATAATGTATCACTTCTTTTTTAAAGAAAATATTGTAGGTACTTTTGAAAAAAATAAGCAAATGGGTAGTAATTTCTCTGAAGGCTTCCACTTACAGAAGTTTCTTATCATCTTTCTGCCCATCAGAGCTGGGTGAAGCAAATGGATTCTGGGACAATCCAAACCCTCTGTTCCTGCTAGTTGAAGCTCCAGAATCGAAGGAACTGAAAGATGACTTTTCTTGATCTCTGCTGCCCCCCCATGGTGTTGATTTGGAGAAGCTGGATGGCTGGATAACGCTGGAATATCTTTGGCTGGTGGTATTCCATCCACGTCTGTAACTACCTGAAAATAAACAATAAAACGATTTTATTGGCAATTCCTCTTTTAAATCTCTAAAAATTTCATTATATTATCTTACTATGTGCAGACATTATGTAAAGATTCAACAAGCACCACCTTTCCACTCATTTTAAATCACAAAACTCTTCATTTTTTACTTATTTGTAGTTACTTGTAACCAACAAATCATGTAATGGTCTAATGGCATTTTTTGTTTAACAAGATTGAGAGGACAGCAAATCCATAGAAAAATGATATATTAGTAAGTTCAGCTGATATAACCTTATTAAGTAAACAATCCCTTGATAGTAGATTTAGGATGTATCCTAAATCATAAGCTCCTTCAGGATAAAAAGCTGTCTTTATCATTCTTTGCTCTCCTACTGGGTCCTATATAACGGTAATGTTCGAAAAATGGACAATGTACTAAAAAGTTTGTTGAATATAAAAAATTAGATTCTACCCTCTGTCCTTGAATAGATGCCTAAATCTATTTGACTCAGTCTTACCTCTGGGAAAACAAGATCTACCCACCTATCTTTCACAGGGAGGTTATAATTTACATGTGAATAAAATGTATTCAGTTCTATTATCAGCAGATTCTAATATTTCATAATTATCACAATAAGCCAACAGGACTCTCTTCCCCTGTATCTGTATTTTAAAAAATCTTGGGGTGCCTGGGTGGCTCAGTCGGTTAAGCGTCTGCCTTTGGCTCAAATCATGATCCCAGGGTCCTGGGATTGAGCCCCGCATCAAGCCCACATCAGGTTCCCTGCTAAGCAGGGAGCCTGCTTCTCCCTCTTCCTCTGCCTGCTGCTCCCCCTGCTTGTGCTCTCTGTCAAATAAATAAATAAATAAATAAATAAATAAAATCTTAAATAAAGTAAAAAAAAAAATAAAAAATTTTGTCACTTAAACTACCTCATTTACTCATCACTTCCTAGTTGGGGCCAAGATAATTTGCCTTGTTTCTGACTGAATTAAGAGATATGCCATGAAATATATTAAAAACTGGAATGATGGGAGATCTATTCCTTCATGAAAATTCATCTCACAACTTTAAAACTACTTAATAAAACCAAAGAGAAAAGGGAACAGATTGCTGGGCCAGATCCCTTATTTAAGGGTTAGTGGTATTTTATTTTTCTGAAGTTCCAAATCCTTTGGGGGAATGACACAACTGAAGAAGTTCATTCTTTCTTTTCTATATAGCTTTTGGCCTTCACTTATTAATTATAGAAACATTCATTTCTGGGAGATTAATACTGTTTACTTGATGAGTTTTATTTATGCTTTCTTCATCCATCAACCCATTCAATATTTATTTTCTAATTACTACGTCTATAGTGAGTCTCCACAGAATGTCAAATATTAAGTAACGTTTTTCCAGGAAATACACTCACAAATATCAGACCCCGAGTCCTAATTTTTGGTTTGGAATATTTCACAGGACTAATTGGGGGTGATGCAAAAGGACTGTCTTCAAGAAGAGGGATCAGACGTGAAACCAATATGCAACACAGATTAAGGGTCAGATGAACAGTCCTAAAAGAGGGAAGGGAAGGAAAGGAAAGGGAGGGGGTCAGCATCTTAAGATACTTTTAAGGACTAAGTTTCAATCCTAATAAAGACCTAACTATTCATCTGACCTTTAAAACCTTGTGTTGGGTTTCATTTCTGATCCCGCCTCTCCTTGAACACAGTCCTTTCACATCATCTACAATTGGCTTAAGTATTCCAAAAACTTTGACAATGACTTAGACCCAGGAAGTAGGTCAACGCGGTCCTCCACACCCCCTTCCCTCACAGCTCGGAGTTGTTGTTTTTTTTTAAATAGGTTTATTTATTTTTAAAAGATTTTATTTCTTTGACAGACACAGCGAGAGAAGGAACACAAGCAGGGGGAGTGGGAGAGGGAGAAGCAGGCTTCCCGCCGAGCAGGGAGCCCGATGTGGGGCTCTGGGGCTCGATCCCAGGACCCTGGGATCACAACCTGAGCCGAAGGCAGCCGCTTAACGACTGAGCCACCCAGGCGCCCCACAACTCAGAGTTCTTAACTGGGCAACCCACCCATCCAGTTTTACCTCCAATGTTATGAGCATGTACATTCGCCTAAGGTAGAGCTTTGCAGCTCTATTAGATTTTCCAAAGGCGTCTGCTACTTCCCCAACGTTAAGCATCCAGGCTTTGATCCCAGCTGCTAGCCCTTCTCTCGAAAAAAGTTTAGTAACAATTATATTTAGGGTATCAAGGGAAAAAAAACAGTACGCTGAAGGGTAGTAAAGCAAGGAGGCGTCTGGGTCGAGCTACACCAATTCTCCGCACCATTACCACCCACAGACAAGGTAGTTTTGACACGTACTTCTGACCTAAAAACTCATTGTTTCGCATTAGTACCAAAGGCCAAGTCCCTGTCTCCATCCCCTCAACCACAAACAGCCAAATGCCTACACAGCGGAGAGGAGCATTGTAGAAAACCTGTGCCGGGCCCGGTGGGCGGGGCCGAAAAGAGGACAACGAGAGCACGTCAGCGTCACCTGACTGATGCGCCGCCGCGCTGCGCCGAGCGGCGGGCCCTACGCCGGACGCCAGTTCTCAGCCCGACGGCCCTGGCGCCAGGCCTTCCCCTGCTCCACTAGCGGCGGAGGATGGAGGAGAACGTCACCTGAGGGCTGTTGCTGCCGTCCTCCGCCCGCACCCCCGGCGCCGGGATGTTCGTTCCAGCACCGGTCTCCAAAGCGGCACCGGCCTTGAAGGAAGAACTGACAAATGGTCATTGCGACGGCGTCGCCCACGGAACGGTCTTCAGTCAGCACCCTCAGCGGACGGAGAGCCCAAAGCAACCGAAGGTCCCTCCCTGCTACCGTGACGTCATTTTCTCGCGCCCCCCCCCTTGTCCTGCCCTGGGATGAGAGGCGTAGGTTTTACCCAATAGGATTTGAGAAGAGCGGGGCGACCCCCCCGCTCTCACTGAGTTGGGCTTGGGAAAGCGGAGTCCTTGAATGGTTAACGTGGAGGAAAAGGCGCGTTTTCGCGTGGGGCAGGGCTTCGGGCTTCAAGGAAAGCCTGAGGGTCCGGAATGAGAGGAGAGCAGGTTAAGGAAATTTAGATTTTCAGCAAGGCCCTGGAGGGGAGGAATAGTTGCGGTTTGAGAGACCGAGTTGTATTTTTCATTTGTACTGTTGAGAAAGAAAAAATCCGCGCCGCCATTCATCAGGTGGATAACAGATAAAGCCAGTTATAAGGTAAACAGGAAACAGTGTTTCCTTCAAGGACATCCTGCAACTGAAAAGTATCATAACCCCATCTTTGGATAAACACTACATTCTTACACTCTGAGAAAGCTAGTTCTTTAAAGTCCACGTACACGCCGCTGTTTGAAATTGTATCAATAAGAATGAAACATACCACTCTTGCCTGGAGGAGCTAAGACACTTTGACACAGAGAAGCAGTATCAATTTCTTCCCAGGTACAGAGCTTTCGATAAGGCGTTCCTGAAAAAAACATTCCGTATTTTTCTTAATTTTGTAGTTTCCAAGGAAACACGATCCTACATCCACTTCTCAGTCCAGATCCGATGTTGGTGCCCTTACACACAGCTCTGCTTTGCTTTGAGCTTATAAAATTGTACCTAAAATCTACTTAGCTCACAAATCTTACAGTTGTCTTTTCCTTTGTATGGTGAGGCACCCTACTGTTGCTCTGGTTCGCAGTCTCCTTGGTTGCCAGGAGGCAATAAGTATGACTTTGTCGGATTACAGGTTTGTCCCTGGTGGTTTAAGATGATTGGCCATTGTTCTTGCTCACATCTTTGGATTTTGAGTACAGTGGAATCTACAGGAGCACTGGGAATAACTGCTACAACGTTGCTACAACGTAGTTTAAAGTTTTTAAGTAATCTCTACTCCCAAGTTTATTTAAACCTAGTATGTATATATATATATGGGGCCCCTGGCTGGCTCTGGCAGTAGAGCATGCAACTCTTGATCTCAGGATCATGAGTTCAAGTCCCACGTTGGGTGCAGAGCTTACTTAAAAAAAAAAATCAATTTACTTATTTTGAAACGTATTGAAGATTTACAAATACAGAATAAGAGACTGTATTGCAGACCTGATACCCCATCACCCAAATACTTTATTTCCTACAAATACATTCTCCTACATAACCACAGTACAATCACCAAAATCAGAACGTTTATCTAATCCTTAGATTCTGTTCATGTTTTGCCAAATGTCCCAGTGTCTTTAAAAGAAAAAGATCCAGTTTAGAGTTATTGTTGCCTTACTCATATTTCTTTTATTTATTTAGCCTTACTCTTATTTCTTTAGTCTCCTTCATCCTGGAACACTTCCTCAGTCTTTTCTTGACTTTCAAGACCTTCACACTATTAAAGATTACAGCTAGTTATTTTGTAGAAATTCCTCAATGCAGATTTAGCTGATGTTTTCTTGTGATTGGATTCAGATTAAGCATCTTTGGCAGGATTATTGCGGAAGTGATGCCATGGTTTTCACATTGCACCTCTCAGGTTGTGTACAATTTCAGCTTGTCCCATTACCTGAGGTGTTCAGTTTGATCACCTGGTTAAGGTGGTGTCTGCTGAGCTACTACAATGACTCTTTTCGCCTTTGTTATTAATAAGAATATTTTGAGGAGATACTTTGAAAGTATAAAAATGCCATTCCTCCCCAAGCTTTTTGGTTCTTTCATTTATTTATTCCTATCAGTGTGGCCTCCAATATTCTGTTTTTATTCACTGGGTTATAATCTATTACTGTCATTATTTTGAGGTTCAAATCATCCTCAATTTGACCAGTGAGAGACCTGTAATCTCCTTTGTTTTTTGACATATCCCATTAATTCTTTGAACACTTCTTTACTCCTTGGCCCAAAAGATGCTCTAGGCTCAGTCTTACACTTTCCCTGATCTAGTCCTAGAATCAACCATTTCTCCCAGGAGTTCTGGGTCTTTAATGGTACTTAGAGGCCAAGATCTGAGCTTTGAATTTTCTCATTGCTGTTGTGAGGTCTTTGCTCCCAAGCCCTTTCGTGAGCATTGCTAGGAAATATATACTATAGACATACATTTACATCAGTACATATTTCTGTATATGTATTAGAAACTATGAGTTTATGCTAATAACCTCCAGTTCGATCCCAAGACCACAGAATTTATTTTCCTCCTGTATTTCTAACTTCCTCCTTTGATAGTGAGAAACTTGGTTCCCACTATTCATACTTATTTTGAGCAATTCCCTTGTATTAGCCAGTTTCTCATTGTGGCCACTGACTTCTTGTCTATGCAAAGACCAACATGTGTAAGGACAATGCTGGGATCAAAGACCTAAAATAATGCCAGTGGTGGCTGAAGCTTAAATGAGAGTGGGCATGGTGCTGTGTGAAAGTGGAGAGGTAGGCAAGGCCAGATCCCAATTGAGATCATCTAGGTGGAGTGCTGATGAGACAATGGGAGACAATGGGAGCCTAGGGCTGAGGCATGCAGAATTCAGTAGTGATCAGTTAGGGTAGGGGTAGGTGGAAATCAAGAGTGGGGTCACAGGAAGGAAACTTCTAATTTCAAAATGGCACAGTAAAAATAGTTCTGCCCCCCTTTCCTCTTGAAAATCATCTCAAAGTAAGAGAAAACAAGCAAAGACATCATCTTTGATTATACTAGGAGATAACCATAATCTCAAACCACAATTTGTGAGGACTGAATGCACATGGAGGAATAGTAAATTACCTAGAAGAGAGGAGGAAAGTCCCATTCCTGAAAGGTGCACCCTGATGTCCCTAGGGAAGTCTGAAAAGCCTCAGAAATTAAGAGGCACCAGTTACTGTAGAAAGGTAGACTGAAAATCTCTATGGGTGCAGTTAGAATCTAGCTCCATAAATCCACCCAGTTAGGCAGCTATCCCTACCTGATGGGAGATAGGTTTTTTCCTTGAAAAAAAAAAAAAGGGGGTGGGGTGGGGACAAGAGAGGCTTCGAGTCCAAGACATCAAGTACAGAGGGGAAGTTATGGTACTGACAATGCAAGCTATGTTTATTGAATGGTGAAGTACAGTCCTCTTTGCGTAAAGTCTAGAAATTCTGTAGCCAGCCTTAGAGTCCCCTTTTTCCCAACTTGCCCTACACACCCAAGGTGTAGGGGTTTGGAAGATTATTTTTTTGACAATCAAACATCCCAGAAAAGTATCTATAGATCTGATGGATTCCCAACAAAAATAGGTGGCCATTCCCTCATCATATGATGAAGCTCACTGATAATTAGGCCCACCTTTGCACACAAAAATTATCAACTTACTCAGTGTCTCATTTTAAATATAAATGTGCAATAAAAACTTAAATATATATTGATAAAAAAATAAATATAAATGTGCAGCCAGGGACCAGAAAAGACAAAGCAAACAGAAAAAATAAACAGACACACACCAAGTGTATAGAAAATGTTAAAGTATCTTCAGAGAGGATAACACTAACAATGCTATATGAAATAATTATTTTTAAAAAAGTATTCTTAGAAATTAAACATGGGTAGTGGAAACAAATTCAACAGATGGTTGGAAGATAAAATCAGAGAAATCCCCTGCAAGAATTGAACAAATCAGATCCTGAACCCATATTATAGCTGTTATTAAGGGTCAGATGAACAGTCCTAAAAGAGGGAAGGGAAGGAAAGGGAGGGGGTCAGCATCTTGTGATACTTTTAAGGACTAAGTTTCAATCCTAATAAAGACCAGAGGCGTAAAGCTCTGGAAAGTAAAATCTTTCTAGTTAGTAACATTTCAGTTTCCCACCACAAACTTAAATTTTTATTTCTCCCAAAGTAGTTTGAATAGCCTTGAGAAGGAGGAAGTTAGGAAGATGAAAGTAAATTCAAGCTTTTAGGTCTTTTGAGGCAAATGTAAGAGGAGTATTTAAAGGATTTATCACATGTTGAAGGATGCAACCTGAAAATGTCTCTTCATATTACCAAATTATTGGGACTTAGTTTGGTGCCATGTTGGAGTGGATTGAATTTTCTGACATTGTTGGGGTATGTTAATGGTGTCACCCTTAAAAAGCAAAATTTCTGGGGCACCTGGGTGGCTCAGTCAGTTAAGTGTCCAACTCTTGATTTTGGCTCAGGTCATCATCTCAGGGTTGTGGGATCGAGCCCCAAGTCGGGTTCTGAGCTGGGCATGGAGCCTGCTTAAGATTCTCTCCCTCTCTCTCTCTGCCCCTCCCCCACTTTTTTTTTTTTTAAAGGCAACATTTCCTTCAAATACTCCTTTATCCTGGCCTAGGCAGCAAATCTCAGTTTTTTGCTGTTAATAGTCTATAAGGCAAAAGGAATATAGACTGCTTGGTTAATAATTATTACATGGCTCATTTTTGTGAATCAAAATTTCCTGTAAGATTGTATGTCAGGTTTTTGAAGCTAGGTCACAATTGTAATTAAGTACTGTTTTTTATAGCAACATTTTTTTTCAAGCCATTAAACTTTCATGTTCAAGTTGTCATTTTTAAAAGTATAAACTAAAAACTGCTATGTCATCAAAATAGTGTCACTGCAAAGGATGGAACATTAACATATCCCATGTTTACTAAGAAGAAAACTGAGCCCTTTATATGAAGGACAGGAATTTTGTGGGGGATAAAAGGAATAGAAAAAATACTTGCTGGGGTGTCCAACTTTTGGTTTTGGCTTGGGTCAGGATCTCGGAGTCTGGGGATAGAGCCCCGCCTCTAACTCCATGCTTGGCAGAGGGTCTGCTTGAGGAGTCTCTCCTGCCCCTCCCTGCCTCAAGTAAATAAATCTTAAAAAAAAAACAACCCCAAAAAACCCTTGCCAATATATTGTGCCATTATCCTGGCATTGACAATTTCATAGAATATTTCCAAGGCAGAAAATAGGTACTAATTAGTAATTACTTACTAACACCACCTCCCCTAAAAAACCCCCAAACCCACGTTTAATCTACATCAAACCTGTCTACATACTTATAACGGTGTGTTCTAGTCAGTTGATACAGCCTAAAGAAAAGGCTAATTCATTTAGAATATTTCAAACAGTGCTGCACATTCCATATGGGGGAGTATTAAATTAAGTAATATAAGTAAATTGTAATATGACAAATGGATGTTCTTTTCTCCAAAAAAACTGGACATTTTTTTTCCCCAGTGGAGTACAGAATTGAAAACCCAACATAAAAATGTTCAAGATAGGCAAATCTAGAGACAGGAAGATTTAATGGTTGTCTAGGTCTATCTGGGGGATGTAAATGGGTTGGATAATGTCCCCCCAAAATTCATGTCCACTTGGAATTTCAGTATGTGACCTTATCTGGAAACAGGTTCTTTGCAGATGTCCTTAGTTAAGATAAGGTCATGCTAGATTGGGAGGAGGGTTGGCTAAATCCAATGACTGCTGTCCTTATCACACCATATGAAGACACAAGGGACACAAAGGAAAGAAGGACATGTGAAGCTAGAGGCAGTGAGTGAAGTGGCACAGTTATAAGTCAATGAATGCCAAGGACTGCCAGCAACCACCAGAAGCTGGGCGGGGGAGGTGGGCAATTTTTGCCTTAGAACTCCAGAAGGAGACAACCCTGCCAACACCCTGATTTAGGACTTCTGGCTTCCTGAGCTGTGAAAGAATAAGTTTCTGTTGTTTTAAGTCACCAACTTTGTGGTAATTCATTACAGGAGCCAAAGGAAACTAATACGGGGGAAAATGGGGGAGTGACTGCTAATGAGTATGGGCTTTCTTTCTGTGGTAATAAGAATGTTCCAAAATTGTGATGATGATTACACAACTCTGTGAATATGTTAAAGACCACTGAATGATACACTTTAAATGGGTGAATTGTGTAATGTGATTTATATTTCAATAAAGCTGTTACATGCGTAAAAAGTCCTAAATAAAAATATTATACTTTTTAAAAAAAGATTTATTTTCTAGAGAGCATACGTGCGCGAGCACAGGGGAAAGGGGCAGAGGGAAAAGGAAAGTCTTAAGCAGCAGAGGAGCCCCACACGGGGCTGATCTCATAACCCTGAGATCACGACCTGAGCTGAAACCAAAAGTCGGATGCTTAACCCGATTGTGCAATGCAGGTGCCCCTATCATTATGCTTTTTATAATCTCTTTCATTTAAACATTTTTAGGATTTAAGATTATAACCCCCATATAAATAAAGCAATGAAAATTAGAAACACAGCTTCACAAATTTTAAAAACAACCACTGCCTAATACATTTAAAATGAAGGATGAATAAAACTTAGTCTATTTTAAGTTAAAAAATATTTAATATTATTGGATAAAAACACCAATGGTGACAGCTTTACATGGCTCATCCCATACATTCCGTAATGTAAAAGGGCAAAACATTACTAGGAAAGAAATGAGTAGTTGGGTTTGTAAAAGATTTATTGACCAGATAAAAGCAATTAATACGAGATGACAACATTGAACTCAAATTATTACAAAACTTTTAGGAGATAACTGGGTCAAATCTCTCTGATGTGTCCTGCTAAGGAAAAGAAATCATGTATCTTTTTAATCCATAAGAAGTTCAAAGTCAACAGTGATATTGTGTAACTATCAGTGCTATTCTAGTAACCTAGAAATTTGCTATAAATAGCTTTATCTTTTGCTAATCATTCTTACTATGATTTTATTTTATTTAACAGTGAGGACTGAAGAGGCATAATCATTTTTTAACCACTGGGTAAAACAGTACTATAAATTAAAGAGGGTGCTAAGCTTGACATTTTGTGTTTCAAAGATGGAATATATTTAATTGGACTGAATATATTTCATGAGGACTTGGGTACATTTTTAAGCCCAAAATGTGTTTATGAAAGTTCTGTGAGAGAATACGTGTATGCGTTGACTCACTCTGGCTTGCTTTTAAAATGAAATAAATTTGGCACTATATGGAACAAATGAAGACAAGCAAAATTAGGTGAGACTAAGATGCTTCATCAGAATTGCCTGTCTTGACTTACAATTCTTACTATTTCTTAGTTTTTGACCGAAGAGAAACAAATAGACCTAACTACAGAGCACTTCTATGATGTATGAAAATAGAATCTAGAGCTAAGATGAGACCGCTTCACTGATGAGCCAATCCCCCACTCTGCATAATCATAGTTACAAATGTGTAATTCATTCAAGAATTCGTATTTTCACCAAATGCTTATGATTTTTCAAGTTTTCTTGCTAGATATGTCATGGTTAAGTGGCCAGCTAATATATGGTCTTTGAATTAAGGAAATTCATATAAAAGAAACATCTATTTTATAGCGATCTTACTTTACTTGAAATTTCCTTTAAAAAAACAAAACACCCAACTAAAACTTTGTAACCAAACTCTTGGAACAAAGCACTGGTGGCCATATTTTTGAGTCTCCGATAAATCTTGAAGTCCATTCCCTTTTCATGTTTCAAGTGTTTCTTCATTTGCTCCACAAGTATCAACAACACAAATTAAACAACTTGTTACTGGAAAAGCTCGGACTTTGGAGTTGGCGACCCATTTGTCTGTCTCAGTATTATATTCAAGGATGTGTCCTAATCGACCCACACCTTGGAAACCAGCCAAGACATAAACTATAGAGCCAACTGCTGCACACTTCACTGTTACACCTTTCCATGGCATTGGTGAGACCATCTTCCATTCATTTAATTTAATATCGTAATATTCCACGTTGTCCAGACCACCTTCAAAAGAATAAAATAACATGAACAACTACAATTAACAATTCTAAGATCTCTTAATGTAATAATTCCTTGCATCTTCCCATCATTTTATTATGAACATTTTCCAAATATGCAAAACAGTTAAGAATCTTACAGTGAATGCCCGTATATCTACCATCTATTCTTATTTTTACTTTAACACAATAAAAATTTAACTTGTTACTTGAATCCTAAAATATGTATATTTATTTTTACAAAATTATAAATGTTCTATCTGTTCTGGGAAAGCAAACAGGTCAGTGGATTTTCCTTCTGATTAACTTTGACTATAATTACTCAAAAGTCTTTTATCCTTCCGCCATTTATCTTTTAGCAGTTTATGGAAAACAGCAATGGCAAGAGACAGGAGAAGGGAAGAAGGTATTTCTTTGTTATACTTAGGTAATGCTTAAAGGTACTGACTAAAATGAAGTTTGTGGACTATAGATTCAGTCCAGATTCTCCATTTATTTAAAGAAATAATTTCAGATTTTTTACTACAAATTTAAGAAAAAGTCAAATTTACTCATTTAAAAAATAGTAATATTGGTATTTTCATGCAATGTTTAAAAATGTTAAGGAAACTTTGCAATTCAGGGCCTGTAATTCAAGTCTTAAAAGTTGTATTTAAAAGTTTGTAAAAATTCAAATGTTTGTCACTTAATAGTTCTTTAGCTAGTGTGACACTATTACCCAGAGGGTGTTTGGAAATGTGTGAAGCTGAGACTGTCACAATGACTGATGGCAATTACAGGGATGTTAAATGTACTGCAATGTTTCTTAAAATATATTAGTTCTCAGAAACTATAAGTATAATAATATATATGATAAATGCTTGTATTTGTTTTTTTTATATATATTTTTAAATGCTTGTATTTAGATTTTAAGAAATGTTTCAAAAATTTATGAGAAGGAGCTATCAGCAAACTCACTGGGAAAGTTGAACAGTGAATTAATGTCACATACCCAAGCCATTCTGACCACCTACAGCAAATATCTTGTCTTTTACAAATACCAGTCCATGATTCTTCCTGGCCTCAATCATTGGACACAGCTCAGTCCATCTGAAAAATAAGAGAAAGCTTTTAGAGTACTTGTTCACAGGAAGTAAAGTACTCATACTACTTTAAAAGAAAGGTCTGTTATCCCAGTTAAGTGCTCATTTAGTACTCACGTGTGTTCACACCCCCACACACACACCTGAAAGACTAGAAAACAAAGGTTTAATGTGGTTTTGAGTACTTTATTTACAGGTGGGGTAAACAGGGATTTTATTCCTTTCAACTCCAACAAAATATGAGAAAGAGAGAATATCTGGAGAGTAACACATCTTCGGAAGAAATCCATTTCCTAGTTCACAGTAACTTGTTAAAATGGTAACAAAAAAGAAAGGGAGGATACTTAAGAAAATATAAAATACCAATATTGTCACATATGGTTTTTTAAAGAATTTTTTTTTAAGAAAAGATTTTATTTGAGAGAGAGAGAGCATGAGGGGGAGGGTCAGAGGGAAAAGCAGACTCCCTGCTGAGCAGGAATGCGGGCCTTGATCCCAGGACTCCAGGATCATGACCTGAGCCGAAGAAGGCAGTCGCTTAACCAACTGAGCCACCAGGCACCCGTCACATAGGGTTTTAATTAATATTTATGTAGGAGTCAAACACAAATTTAACATTGGGCTCTAGCAATCAGCAAATTAGAAGTATCTGTTACTTTTCATATGTCCACCTTCAAATGTACATTTAGAACTTTAGGCAGCACTAGTAACAGAAGTACTGTCATTCTGTCAAATTTAATAGCTTATTAGCATGTTGTTTTGTTCATGGCCACTACTATAAATAATGAGATTGAGGGGCGCCTGGGTGGCTCAGTCAGTTAAGCGTCTGCCTTCAGCTCAGGTCATGATCCCAGGGTCCTAGGATCAAGTCCCACATCGGCTCCCTGCTCAGCAGGGGGGTCTGCTTCTCCCTCTCCCTCCGCTGCTCCCCCTGCTTGTGCTCTCTTGTGCTCTCTCTCTCTGTCAAATAACTAAATAAATAAAATCTTAAAAAAAAAAATAACAAGAGGGGTGCCTGGGTGGCTCAGTTGGTTAAGCGACTGCCTTCGGCTCAGGTCATGATCCTGGAGTCCCGGGATCGAGTCCCGCATCGGGCTCCCTGCTCGGCAGGGAGTCTGCTTCTCCCTCTGACCCTCCTCCCTCTCGTGCTCTCTCTCTCTCTCATTCTAATAAATAATAAAATCTTAAAAAAAAATAACAAGACTGAGAACATAAATGTGGACACAAGTGTTGAGAACACTAATTCATAGGTAGCAGCCTCATACACACAGACGTGTGTTACTTTTTTCTGTGAGACGCAATTCCTCCTTTTGCATACAATCCCACACATACGACTGACGTCTGTGATTGTGAAGGTGGTCCTGGCACACAGGCTTGTGTCTCAATAGCTAACAAAAACCAAAAGTGTCCAAGCAACAAGAAAAGGTAATCTGACATAAGTGTAACTCTTTAATTTCGTTATTTCTCTTCTTTTAAATAATTTACTAAATTTAACTTTTCAAAATATAATTAGGACGTAATGATTAACTCTGAAATATTAACTTGTTGCCATAATTATATTCATAAAATTGTTTTGTTTTAAAAGTGGTTTGACAGTTGCCACATTCATTTTCAGAGCACTCTGTAAGGTGAGGTGGGCAACACCGTTCCTTTCCCCCCCCAGCCAGGGTAAACACACATGCTCTTCCAGGTGAAAAGACCAGCATTCAGCTCAGAGGTGGGAGCCAGTACTGGCCCTCCACTCCCTCTCCATGCAGTGAGCCGCACAAAGCGACTGTCAACGTGTATTAAACATAGTATCTGACTTGGAAAAATTCAAAATATATACCCCTTTCTTCTCCACACATGTCCATGATATAAAATAAGAGCACATTTTTATGTAGGGTGGTCCTTGACTTACAATGGTTCAACTTAGGATTTTCTGACTTTATGATAATGCAAAAGTGAAACACATACAGTAGAAACTGTACTTCACATTTTGAGTTTTGATCTTTTCCTGGGCTCGCTATATGATACTCTCTCATGATGCTGGGCAGCCGCAGTGAGCTGCAGTTCCCACTCAGTCATGGGATCACGAGGGTAAAGAAGTGATACACTTACAACCATTCTGTACCCACACAGCCATTCTGTTTTTCACTTTCAGTACAGTAGTCAATACATTACATGAGGTATTCAACACTTTATTACAAAGCAGTTTCTGTGTTAGATGATTTTGCCCAACTGTAGGCTAACGTAAGTGTTCTGAGCATGTTTAAGGTAGGTTAGGCTAAGCTATGATGTTCAGTACGTTAGCTGTATTAAATGCCATTTTCAAGGTAACAGTACTTTCAACTTACAGTGGGTTTATCAGGATGTAACCCCACTGTAAGTGGAAGAAGATCTGTGTAGCTAAGTCTCCTGAAGGTTTAGAGTTAGGAAGTTTCACAAAATATACTTTCTTCTTCCTGTAACTTCACATGCAGAGTATGTACTAGGTGCTTGCTCTCCCCAACCTGGACTTTAGTGTTTAGAAGTTTTTCTTAAAATTCTGACTGCAGCAACTGTGTCATGTCATATCCATAAGGCTTCAATTCTTCGCTTCCAGTTAAACCACTGTAGTTACAAAACACCTAAGAAAACTGTAAAAATTGGAAAGAATTCTTATAAAAAATAACTTAGATGGATAGATCACATATTAAAAAAAGGAAATCATTGTAGCACATAACTTTTCATTTTGAGATCTGGATAATTATAGTCACACTAGCTTTTCACTTAGGAAAATTTAAGGGCATTGAAGAGAATATAGAATATTCAAGTTTCATGCATAAGCTCAATATGTACAAAAGAAATGCTAACTTGTGTGAGTTTTAAGATATTCCCCAAACTAAATATATCCACCTAGTTTTAAAAAATATTGAGGTTGCAGAATTCCTTTATACCTTTCCCCTGCTACTATGAATAAGAATATACTGATTTACACTCATAGTGCCTGAATAAAGATCTCAAAATTTAGAATCCTGGAGTTTATCTAGTATGGGTTCTACTTTGAGAGATTTTTTAGAAATGAAAAAATAATTAGGAAGCAAGATAATGAGACCACAGTTTTCCAATTAGTATGCTGTAATACTTTTTGAGCATAAGGTGTCTGGGAGGTAAAGTAGAGACTGATATAAGAGGGAAGAGAGTTGGTATACACCCCCCTCTTATAGTCTGGGACAAGATGGGGCAGATAGCTCAAGTGATGGATGATAGAATGAGATAAGGGGTATCCCCAGAGTGCCCAGGTTAAGTACAAAGATACATTTTGAAAAACACTGAGAAGTAGTAAATTTGATGATCTCAAAGAGATTTTCTATTTCTAGTCTCAACATTTTTTTTTTTTTTAAAGATTTATTTATTTTAGAGAAGAAGAGAGGGAGAGAGAGAACAAGGGGTAGGGGCAGAGGGAGAATCTCCAACAGACCACCTGCTGAGCATGGAGCCCAATGTGAAGCTGGATCTCATGACCCTGAGATCATGACCTGAGCTGAAATCAAGAGTTGGAGGCTTACCCCACTGAGCCACCCAGACGTCTCTAGTCTCAACACTTTAGCAAAAGGTGTTTCAAGATAAGTTGTTTTCAATTCTATTTCTTTCTTTTTTTAAAAAATTTTATTTATTTGGCAGACAGAGACAAAGCGAGAGAGGGAACACAAGCAGGCGGAGTGGGAGAGGGAGAAGCAGGCTTCCCGCTGAGCAGGGAGCCCGATGCGGGGCTCGATCCCAGGACCCTGGGATCATGACCTGAGCCGAAGGCAGACGCTTAACGACTGAGCCACCCAGGTGCCCCTAGGAGAGTTCTTTATATTTTAAATCCTTTAAAAATAGGTGGGAAGCATAAATAAATAATTGCACATGGTTAATCATATTTTGTAATTCTTACTTTTCATTAAAAAAAAACAACAGCTGGAGTGGAAGACTTCTATGTTTTGTAATCTGGCAATATTTCCTAAATATCAAACTTGAGCATAAGACTTGGTGCAGCTCTTTGGCATAACATTTAAGTTGAACATATTTACCCAATAATTTGTTCTGGTAAAGGAAGAACAATCTTTTCAAATCAATAAATAACTTTTCTTATCAAATCTCCTTGGATGTTCTGAGTATCAGACAAACGGTCTGACAGGGATATTACCTGTGGTCATTTCTTTATTAAAGTCACTCTACTTATCACCCCCAACCCCTTCAGTAATTGGCACATTACATTTGGCTACATTGAACAGGTTCCATCACTAATTACAAGGTCAGAAAAACTGGCTATTTATTTCTTTAGGATTTTGCCTTTTATTATTATTATTTTTTAAAGATTTTATTTATTTATTTTACAGAGAGAGAGACAGCGAGAGAGGGAACACAAGCAAGGGGAGTGGGAGAGGGAGAAGCAGGCCTCCCTTGGAGCAGGGAGTCCAATATGGGGCTCGATCCCAGGACCCCGGGATTATGACCCTGAGCCGAAGGCAGACGCTTAATGACTGAGCCACCCAGGCACCCCTGGATTTTGCCTTTTAAAAAGCAGTTATTTACTTCCCAGATTTAAGAATAATCGTAATGAATAAATATGTATCGAAACATACTTTAGTAAGCATGAACTCAGAATTAAGACATTATACCTAGGGATATGATGACACAAATCAATATATAATGTTTCCAATTAAAGGCAAATTTATGGGGCACCTGGGTGGCTCAGTCAGTTAAGCGTCTGCCTTCGGCTCAGGTCATGATCCCGGGGTCCTGGGATCGAGCCCCGCATCGGGCTCCCTGCTCCGTGGGGAGCCTGCTTCTCCCTCTCCCTCTGCCTCTCCCCTGGCTTGTGCTTGCTCGCTCTCTCTCAAATAAATAAATAAAATCTTAAAAAAAAAAATAAAGGCAAAGTTACTACTGACTGTAAATTTCTTCCATCTCCCCTACATTTCCTGACTTCAAACAAAAATATTTTATGAATTTGATGAATTAGTCAAACTTGTCTCATTCATAGGCATTTATTGCACAAACAGGAACAGAAAGAGAGGGGCTCCCACAGGGTAAATAAGGTCAAGTCATTTCTTAAAGCACAGAGGAAGGGTCCAGGACATAAACATGTCCCGAACCTAGCTCATTCAAAAGTGTGTACACATTCTTAATATAAGAACTAAATTCTTCTGTTGGGTTCCTTCTACTTTTTGCCACCTTCTTCCTCTGAGCTTTTAGAATATAATTAACTGTGAGATAAGACTTTTTTTGTTTTTTGTTTTATACACAGTGTAGTTTTAATGAGTTATGCATAAGGTTATTCCCATACACTTCTACATATAAGTTTACAAACACATATCTAAATAAAGAAAGAAGTTACTTGAAAGACAAATTATACACAGCATAATTTCACTGAGTTAAGAACAGGTCTATTCCCAGATAATTTTAAAATAAGACTTTTAAATGGATACATACGTTTCTGTGGCAGGATCATACACCTCACAGGAATTCAGCACTCGCCCAGAAACATTGTTCCCTAAACTTCCACCACAAACATAGATCAGGCCATTGGCTTCCACCATGCCGTGGCTGCAGCGCTGAGTCAGCATGCTGGGCTTCGTGTGCCAGCTTTCCGTTCTCGTGTCGTAGCACTCAAATAAATACAAAGCTGAGTTCCCTGTAAAAGAAAAAGGGCTCCATCATGCCTCACTTAGTATATGTGTGGGTTTGGAGTGAGCTGACGGTAGAGCTGGGTCATTAGTTACTGGAGGGAAGAATTTAAAGTTGTAGTCTTTTCTTCCCTTTTTTTTTTTTTTTTTAAATATTTTATTTATTTGACAGAGAGAGACACAGCGAGAGAGGGAACACGAGCAAGGGGAGTGGGAGAAGGAGAAGCACACTCCCCGCGGAGCAGGGAGCCCGACGTGGGGCTCGATCCCAGGACCCTGGGATCACGACCTGAGCCGAAGGCAGACACTTAACTGACTGAGCCACCCAGGCACCCCCAAAGTTGTAGTCTTTTCTAAAGTTAACAGTAACAGCAAAATGGAGGAATAACTTAAGAAAAAGCTAAACCTTTTTGTATGGACCTTAGAAAAATATTTTTAAAAAGGATCTGCTGGAGAGACTTATTTATTGGTAATTGGAAATTGGTTTGATTTCAGAAGAAAAATTAAATAACATTACATATGTTTTCGTGCCCAGTTATGCATGGTGGGAATTATTCAAACTTTAAATGCTTATAGAGGAGAAAAGCATAGCTATTTATAGATGGTAAATCCATACTTAGACTCTGAAAACTACTATCTGATAATATTCTAAAGTTTATCATTTAACATTCTATAGTAGTCACTGCACCATTAACAAAACTATTTTTCCTGACTACTCTCAGTGGCTGTGTGAGTAAGCCCTGAAGTCATGCTGGCCCATTTTTGACTATACTCTCAAGGTATCACTGTATGTCTCTGGTGTGCTTTGATTACACTTTTTTTCCCCAAAGATTTTATTTATTTATTTGGGAGAGAGAGAAAGAGAGAGAGCGCACACAAGCACAAGTGGGGGGAGCTGCACAGGGAGAGGGAGAAGCAGGCTCCCTGCTGAGCAGGGAGCCCAATGTGGGGCTCGATCCCAGGACCCCGGGATTATGACCTGAGTGGAAAGCAGATGCTTAACTGACTGAACCACCCAGGTGCCCCTTGATTACACATTTTAACAGCAAAACATATACATCCTGTCTCATTATAGGGGCTCAATAAAGAGTTTTAGAAATGATACTAATAAAGCAACAAGTGCTTTTTTCCTTCCCGAGAAAAAAAATTAAAATTTAACCAAATCGTATCTCATCTCCCACTCCTGGAGTTCTTGCTAATAGTCAAAAACACCACCACCCCTAAAATTCTCAATCACAGTCAAAGTCTACAGAAAGCAAAGTTCAGGGAGTAACAAATGGAAGAAGCAATGGTCCCAATTAACAATAATTTCTTTTTAACTTTTAAAATATTTTCAATGAGATTCAGTTGGTTGATATTAAGGGGAAATACACAGTGTATGGCAGACATGAGAAACTACTACTTAAGTAAAAAACTTAGTAATTGCTGAAGATATGAAGTTACCTACTCTACTTTCTACAAAAAGTGTTTCTATAGAACAGTTACTTTCTATTATCTTTAGGATTTATTGTATTTGAAATATGCTGTATTAGACATTCTCTAAAAAATGCTTTTGGGGGGAAGGTAATTTCTTAAGTCACATTTTAAAAAATCTTTAATTTTTCTAATATTCATTTGATATTTTGTGGGAGAGTAAAAACTTAAAACAGATAAATATGCTGACCAAAAGTAAAACATTCTTTGGCCTAATATAAAAATCTCAAAGAAAATAAGGACTTAATTAACATTTGAATTCCACACCTTAGGTTTACTTGGTCTTCCTAGTTTTCTTTATAAGCCCATTATTTAGCTAAAGAAATTATTTGAAAAGGTTAAAGCTATTATTAATCTAGTCTGTACCTAGAATATCCATTTAGAAAACTTATTCATTTAGAAAAAGACCACCACTGGACACAAACAAATTACCCATTGACGAGAAAGATTTTTTACACACAAACCCATACCCTGTTCTGCTCAGTGAGCATAAAACACCACTACCAGCCATTATATTACATAGTTAAAGAATAAAAGCAAATGAGAAAGATCATTCTTACTTTTTTCAAATACAAAGAAAGAAAAGGTAATAAGGTATAACAGATTTTAAAAGTGTGAATGTAATAAAGAGATTTTAAAGGGTCTGTGGAGTGAGCCAAACTCTGAAATCTTTTTTTTTTTTTTAAGATTTTATTTATTTATTTGAGAGAGAGAATGAGATAGAGTATGAGAGGGGGGAGGGTCAGAGGGAGAAGCAGACTCCCTGCCGAGCAGGGAGCCTGATGCGGGACTCAATCCCGGGACTCCAGGATCACGACCTGAGCCGAAGGCAGTCGCTTAACCAACTGAGCCACCCAGGCGCCCCCAAACTCTGAAATCTTAAAAGCAAATTAATATTAGGTATCTAAAACTAATCTAGGGGTGTCTGGGTGACTCAGTTAGTTAAGCGTCTGCCTTCGGCTCAGGTCGTGATCCCAGGGTCCTGGGATCGATCCACATGTCGGGCTCCCGGTTCTGCGGGGAGTCTGCTTCTCCCTCTCTCTCTGCCCCTCCCCCCCCCCCCGCTTTTTCCTCTCTCTCACAAATAAATACAAATAAAATCTTTAAAAAAGGGCGCCTGGGTGGCTCAGTTGGTTAAGCGACTGCCTTTGGCTCAGGTCATGATCCTGGAGTCTCGGGATCGAGTCCCACATCAGGCTCCCTGCTCAGCAGGGAGTCTGCTTTTCCCTCTGACCCTCCTCCCTCTCATGTTCTCTCTCATTCTCTCTCTCGCAAATAAATAAAATCTTAAAAAAATAAAAATAAAAAAATAAAACTAATCTAGGTAGAACTAAAATCCAGATGGTGTGAGAAAAAAATGGGACAATTAACATAATCGAGGAAGCTGAAGTTCTTGTAAAAGGATTTTTTTAAGAAAAGTAAGGTAAACCTTCAGGAAAATGGGCTCTAAAATGTGACAGATATGTATTTAAATTATCTCAAAAAGACAACATCAACTGTTTATGTAAATATGAAAGCCAAGAAACATATTTGGTAAAACACCTTCCCCAAAGAAAAATACCGAGTCAGTCCTTACCAACTTCGGAACCTCCAGATGTGTAAATTTTGCCTTCTGCAGCACAGGCAGCAAGGCTGTCTCGAGGTGTCGGAGGGCCCAGTTTGGAATACCAGCTATCCTTCACGACATTATAGCAATCCATTCGTTTTATGGGGAAAAGCTGAGAGCCACCCAAAATGTATACTACATTGTCCCAAAACACACATGCTGCATCTCTTCGTTTTTCAAAGGGGCAGCGGATGTCTGTCCAGCTATAATCCTATAAAAGGAAAGGACAGGAAGCAGTCAGTAATGTAAAAATACAATTGATACAGATGAGGCAAAGATATAGTTGAGAAAATACAAAGTATGAGTATGTTAATTTGCTAGAGTACATATAACAATGTTTGGCTTGAGACAGGATCTAATTTAATCTTGTGTGATTTCCTCAGAATGTTGGTTAGCTGGGGCAGAGGGCAAGAGGAAGATGGTGACTGCTTTGGGTGTTTTCCCGCTCCAGATTAAACTCTAATATATTTGGATGTATCACTACCACCAGTCTTCTAAAGTAGTTTTGTATTTAGAAAAAAACTTCTTTCAAATGTAAATAGGGGCACCTGGGTAGCTCAGTTGGTTGAGTGCCTGACTCTTGATTTTGGCTCAGGTCATGGTCTTGGCGTCGTGGGATGGAGCCCCATGTGGGGCTCTGTGCTCAGCGGGGAGTCTGCTTAAGATTCTCTCTCTCTGCCCCTCCCCCTGCTCGCACACACTCTCTCAAATAAATAAATAAATCTTTAAAAACAACAACAGGGGCACCTGGGTGGCTCAGTCGTTAAGCGTCTGCCTTCAGCTCAGATCATGATCCCAGGGTCCTGGGACTGAGCCCCGCATCGGGCTCCCTGCTCAGCGGGGAGTTTAGTTCTCCCTCTGCCTCTGCCCCTCCCCCCTGCTCATGCTCTCTTTCTCTCTCTCATTCTCAAATAAATTAAAAAAAAAAATTAAGAAAAGTAAACAAGAACAACAAAAAAACCCCAAATGCAAACATACCCATCCCTTCCCTGCCAGATATATAGAGTGGTTTAAAGAATCATTGGAGGGGGGACGCCTGGGTGGCTCAGTCGTTAAGCGTCTGCCTTCGGCTCAGGTCATGATCCCAGGGTCCTGGGACCAAGTCCCACATCGGGCTCCCTGCTCAGCGGGGAGTCTGCTTCTCCATCTCCCTCTGCTGCTCCCCCTGCTTGTGCTCTCTCTCTCTCCGACAAATAAATAAAAATCTTTAAAAAAAAAAAATCATTGGAGGGGCGCCTGGGTGGCTCAGTTGGTTAGGCATGTTGGACTGTTGATTTCAGCTCAGGTCATGATCTTGGGTTGTGGCATCTGGCCTCAAGTATAGCTCCACAGTCGGTGAGAAGATTGCTTGAGATTCTCTCTCTCCCTCTGCCCCTCCTCCAGCTCACACACATACTTACTCTCTCTCAATCAACAAATAATATCTAAAAAAAAAAAGAATCACTGGATAATATGAAGCTTAAACTGCTGTTATCCTACTGATGTCTAAAGCTAGAAGATATTTTGTAGACTTCTGTGATAATAAATTTTTACAAAATATTCAGTTGAGCCAGTTTATTCAGGACTCTTAAGGCTGTGATATTTACTATGAAATCCTTGAGTAATGTTTTGACTAGTCTGGAAACTCACTTTTCTCTTCCTGATGATTAGAAGTGAGCATGTATCAGTATTTCACAACAAGGGCTGTTCACAGGTTCATTTAGTTTCCTTACTATGTTTGGCACATCCAAGGATATATTCTTTTGAATGATCTTTAAGACATGCTACTCTTCAAATTAACTGCCCAGGGGTGCCTGGGTGGCTCAGTCGTTAAGCGTCTGCCTTCGGCTCAGGTCGTGATCCCAGGGTCCTGGGATCGAGCCGTGCATTGGGCTCCCTGCTCTGCAGGAAGCCTGCTTCTCCCTCACCTGCTCCTCCTGCTTGTGTTCCCTCTCTCGCTGTGTCTCTGTCAAAAAAATAAAATCTTAAAAAAAAAAAAAAATAACTGCCCATGTAGGAGCTGGGATTAAAAACACAAAATACGTTTTCTTTTAGCTAAATGAACATTTAGGCACTAGGGTATGAAGTTCCAAAAAAAAGGGGGAAATAATACCCAAGAGTTTGGTAACAGAACAGTTCTAATTTTCTAGTACTACTCAAGGGTTTGAGTAAGGAATAAATGAGTACTCATATGTCCCTGTCATACAGGGCTTAGGCTTCAGATTTAAGAATTAAAAATAAATTGCTCTCTTGGAACTATAAGCCCAAAGGAGAAATGATTAGCCAGTGTTTGTGTGTATGTGTGTGTGCACGCACGTGGGACAAGAAAGGCACATGCTTCTATCTACTTATAATATGGGCTCTGATTTCCTTAAATATCCTCGTTTTTTTTTTAATATCCTTAAGTTTTTTTTAAATTTTTTTATTAATAGATTTTAGTTTATTTATTTGACAGAGACACAGTGAGAGAGGAAACACAAGCAGGGGGAGTGGGAGAGGGAGAAGCAGGCTTCCCGCAGAGCAGGGAGCCTGATGCGGGGCTCGATCCTAGGACCCTGGGATCATGACCTGAGCCGAAGGCAGACGCTTAACGACTGAGCCACCCAGGCGCCCCTATCCTCAAGTTTTTAAATCTTTTTCAACTCTCCAAATACTGTCATTGGTTAAAGTACATGTTAGACACTAAGTTTGATCAATACTGACTATATTTAATATTCTGCCTAAGTTTACCTTCTAGGCAGATGAAATGACCTTTGCAAGAATTTTACCTAGAATGCAAGTACGATTTCATTTCAGCTAAAATTTAATGTTTTACATTTGAGCTCATTAAATATACCCGTCAGGTGTTAAATGCACCTGTGTTTGAAAACACCTGGCTTTGGCTGTATCCATGTATGGAGGGAAGCTTTTTTCCCATGTGTGTGTATGGGTAGATCTCACTGGAAAGTCTAATTTTCCCAATCTATACCTTATCCAAAACAGAATACTAAGAAGGTGATTTGATGTTTGCCCTTTAATAACTTGTTATACTGCCTAGGAGGTAACATGTGTAGTTGAGGAAACAAGCAGAGAAAGTAAAAATATAGATGAGACGTCAGACTTACAGGCTCCATAGATATGAATGCCAGGTATTATGTTAGTGATGGGACTACTCCCAACATGGGGCCTGCAGGTAGAGGAGGGGTTGCTTAAGGCTCCCTGAGCTCTTAGGCTACAGGTCAAGCTAGAGGGACATGCAGCTTTTCTGTCAGCAATAAGATAGATACATAGCAGTAGAGTTACAGTGTATGTGTGTGGGCAGAGAATTGTTACTCTAGAAACATAATTTAATTCAGTTAAGTTTTATTGAATATCTATTTCATGCAAGGTTCTGTGCTTGGCTGAGGAGAAGATATGAAAATGGGAAAATTGGAAAGCCTGGAAAAGACAAAGGTAGAAGGAAGTTTTGACAGATCACACATCTATGCATCCACACACATACATATTCATGTATAAAGTCCTGTCTTCCCTCGTCCTAGTTAGCCTTTCTTGTCCCTGCTGTGATACACCACATTCTAGACTTTTTTCAAGCTCAAGGTCGAGGCTCCTTTCCTTTTTGTAGGCTTCCCTGACTGCCTTGTTCTGAATCCCCACCACACTAAAGTCTGGGCTTGATGACTGAGTGCTCTGCTCCATTACATCTTGCCCTGGGTGATTCTCCAGCAGTAGTAGTGCGATGCTACAGACACTGAGATGCTTCTTTTTTTTTTTTTTTTTTAAAGATTTTTATTTATTTATTTGACAGAGAGAGACAGTGAGAGAGGGAACACAAGCAGGGGGAGTGGGAGAGGGAGAAGCAGGCTTCCCACCGAGTAGGGAGCCCGATGTGGGGCTCGATCCCAGGACCCTGGGATTATGACCTGAGCCGAAGGCAGACGCTTAACCGACTGAGCCACCCAGGCGCCCCGACAGTGAGATGCTTCTTGAGGTGAGGGGCTGTAACAGCTTCTCTAAATCCCTCCAGGCAAAAACATCAGCCTGCTATTTTCCTTGAGAGTAAGGACTGATTTTATACTAATCTGTATTCTGAAAACACATGAATCTTCAAATAATAGAGATACCACAGATGTAGATTTTAATAACCAAGACAACCAAAATCCAAAATAAAAGAAATACTATTTATTTGTAAGACTTGAGAATTTTATTTGGATCATTTTGAGAGGAAACCAAGCAAAAGCAGGGAAGACAGATCTTAGAAAAAAGGAAAGCAAAATTAACAAAATGTAAAACCTTAAGATTTCTTGCAGAAACTTCAAGGAGTCAATCTAATCTGAGTTTAAGATGACCAAATTATAAGCACTTTCTGTTAAGCCATTTATCTAATTTTAGTTTTTTTTTTTTAAAGATTGTATTTATTTGAAAGAGAGAAAGAGAGCGAGCGAGCACGAGCAGGGGGAGGGGCAGAGGCAGAGGGAGAAGCAGACTCCTCCCTGATCAAGGAGCCCAGTGTGGGGCTCGATCCCAGGAACCTAGGATCATGACCTGAGCCGAAGGCAGATGCTTAACTGACTGAGCCACCCAGGTGCCCCTAATTTTAGTTTCTAAGAGCTGTTCAAAAAATAATCACATAACTATGGCAACAATCTATATAGAAAGCAGGTTTATGCCAGATGCAAGAACATCCCTAGAAGTAGTTTTCATGAAAAATGCATAAAAACACTTCTGGCTTCATTCATTTCACAAGATCACAAAGAATGCAGCTCTAGGGAGCTGGGAAAGGCGGGCACTGAGCTAGGCTGTGGAGAAGCTATGGGTCGCATGGAGTCACTTCACTTTTCAGGGATGTTAGCTCCCTTCCCCGTGAAACAAAAAGACTGAACTAGATGAGCTTAGAGCCCTCCCCCCCTTTCAGGCCTAAAATCCAATGATCTTAAGGTCCAAATGATTTAGAAAAGCATCGCTGAACAAAGAGCTACTAATTTATTCATTATCAAGCACTTCCCTTTCCAGGAACTATGCTGAAATATCTTAAAACATTATTTTATTTAATTTCCTCAATAATCCTATGAGGTAAGAACCTTATCTAACAGATAACAAAACCTCAGAGAGTTAAGTACCATGTCCAATGTTACGGAGTTAGAAAGTGGTGAACCCAAGATTTAAGTTCAAATTTGTCAGACTCCAAAACTGCACTCTTAACCCCTACACTGCCCTGCTTCTCTAAAAATCTTATTACAGGGCCTCCTAGAAAGA